TTGAGCTCCTCGAGATCTTCCTGTTCCGGTTGCTTCAGATGCGTTGCCAGTTGACTCGCACTATAGGACAGGTCGGGTCGGCAGGTTACTGCTGCGAATAGTAGGCAGCCGAGCTTCTGTTGATACTCCCGGATTTGCTTCGCGGGGAGTTTTGCGGAGGTGCTGTTGTTGTTCCCGTAGTGGTAGGGAGTTGGGACCGTAGTCGGCGTTAGACCGAATTTCTTCGCGACGGTGCATGCGTACTTTCCAGCATGTAGGTAGAACGCCGAGTTGTCTTCGACGACATTCAGTCCTAGGTACTGGGTGACTTCGTCGGACACAGTGAGAGTTAAGTCTTCTTTCAGCTCCCGTTCGAACCAGGTGGCGATGTCGGTAGTGGAGCCGATGTAGAGCAGGTCGTCGACGTAGACGATGAGTAGGATATACTCTCTTCCCTTCTGCAGTCGGTACATCCCTTGGTCATGCGGCAGCTGTAGGAATCCGATTTTTGTGAGACGGCCGTGGAGATGCTGCTGCCAGAGCCGCGGGGCTTGCTTGATCCCGTATAGGGATTTTGTCAGTTGGCATACTTTCGTGGGGTCGTCGATGAATCCGTGGGGTTGTTCGACGAAAATCTCGGCGTCCACAGGTGCGTATAGGAACGCATTCGCGACGTCGATTTGGCGTAGTGGTAATGTCTTCGTGGCCGCGACGGCGAGTAGGATGCGTAATGAGGTGTGACGGGAGACTGGAGCGAAGGTTTCTGTGTAGTCGGTTCCGTATCGTTGATCGAAGTCTCGTACGACCCATCGAGCTTTGAATCGTTCGATGGAGCCGTCTGAGTTGGTCTTGATGCGGTACACCCATTTCCCCGAGAGGACGTTTTTTCCGTTGATGCTTGTTGCAGGTACCAGTTTCCATGTTTTCCGGTCTTGCAGAGCCTTTAACTCCTTTTCCATCGCTTCCTTCCATTTCGCCTTATATTCCCCCCCCAGAGCCTGCGACAGGGTCGAAGGCTCTCGCGGAGAAGGCGGCGGCGGATGCTGGACGGAGACCCAGAGGCCTAGAATCTGCAGTCCCGTGGGTGTGTGTCGAGGGGAATTTTCATTCCCGGAATAAGCTGCTTCGTCACCGTCTTCTGGGTCAGGTGAGAAGTTGGGACCGATGCGTTCTGAAACATTTGTGTCGACTGGGTGGGGTGTAATGTAACCTTGGTCAGCGAAGTGGTAAAAGGTGTCGAGGTTGTTGCTATCGAGAGGATTGTCTTCGTCGAGTGGAACAGGTACGGAACAGAATGGGAGTGGTCCGGCAGCTTCCGAGGCTTCAGGTACGTCTTCTTCTGCCGCGTCAGCTTCGGCAGCACGGTCGGCGAAGGAACGAAGTCCGGAGAAGCCGTCGGTGGGGTCTTGTGTGTTGGCAATGTTGTCCAGGTAATGCTGCAGCGTCAGTCGCTCGTAGAAGATAACATCACGTGATGCCACGGTATTTTTGTCTTGTATGTCGAGAATTTTCCACGCGTGAAAATGTTTGGCGATGCCGAGGTGTAGTCCCCACCGAGCTCGTTATGTGAAGCGTCCTGCTCGGGCTGTGTGGGGTCTGTACTGTACCATGCAACCGAAAACTCGGAGTAATTTTGTGCTGCCCCTTTTTCTTGTCCACAACAGGTGCGGTGATGCGTTGTTGGGAAGCGATGACGAGGACAGCAGGTTGTGCAGGTGAACTGCATGTGTCATCGCGTCTGGCTACAGTGTGGTGGGCAGCCTCATCCCCATAACCAGTTTTCGCATCGTCGTCTGCAAGGTCCGGTTCATGTGTTCTCCGACCCCCTGCTGCTGGTGAGCATAGGGCAGAGACACCAGGCGTCTGATTCCTCTTTCCGCCAGATATGTCCTGAAGCGTTGTGACTGGTATTCCAGTGCACCGTCTGACTGGAAGCTCTTGAGCTTGGTTCCTGATTCTCGTTCGGCGATGGGAAGCCATGTTGTGAAGGCGTCGAAAGCTTGATCGCGCGTCTTGAGATTGAAGTGCCAGACGTATCTGGTTGCTGCATCGATGAACGTTATGACGTAGTTGAAGTCGGCTTCGGTGTCTTCTCGAGGCATGTTTAAGATATCGCTGTAGACTTTTTCCATCGGAGCGTATGTAGGTGCGCTTGGGCTGTGATGAGATGGAAAAGGCTGATGGGGAAGATCTGCTTCGGGGCACGTGAAGCACCGTGCTCGTGGTCGTCGAAGTTCTTGGCCGTTCGTCGTTAGGAGGGCGTTGCGTTCTAACACTTCTGCTTGGATTGTCTGTAGTATCGTGCTGTTTGCAGGATGCCCGAGGCGTTGGTGCCAGATGTCGTCGGAAGCGCGATGACCCGGCGAGCGGTGGTATATATCGGCGTTGGAGAAGAACGCGACGACTGTGGCGGGACTTCGACAGACTTCTCGTGTGATGGGCATAAGCTGGTCTGCTTCGGTTGGCGGTCCTCGGATCGCTGGTGGTGGTACTCGGCTGGGTCCCGGTGCTGCTACTGCAGGTGATGGTTTGGTAGGGATACTCGCGGGTACTTGTCTTTCTTGTCTGATGACTGCTAATGCTCGTGTTCTTTCTGCTGCAGGTATGGTGTTGGAGTGCCAGAAGCCGTCACTGTCGAATTCTGGATCAAGATCCGGCGGGTGTGTCCAGGCGGCGAATGATACGATGCCGTCGCTGTCGGCAGTACCGCGGTCGGGGACGAAGTCCAACACGAAGACGCCGGACTTCAGGAGAGCACGACCGATGAAGAGGCCGCCTTTCCCGTGGTAAAGTCGAAACTCATTGGAGTAAGAGTCGCACTCCAGGTGAATTCCTTTGGCCATTAGTTGGCTTACGCTTAGTAGGTTGTATCCCAAGTTGTCGACAATGACTTTGTTGAGCTGAAGTATGACGTTTGTCTCGATGGATTGTAACTGAACCACGCCTTGTCTGTTTGTTTTCAGGTTTTCGTTGTTGGCGACGGTGATGATGACGTCGCGGTTGAGGCGTTTCTCTCGTTGCACGAAGCGTCCCGAAGAGCACATGTGTTGACCGCAGCAGCTGTCCAAGAACCAGGTGTTTCGCCCGGTGGGTTCGGCGTTGGCGACCGCAACGTATGTTGGATTGACTTGAAGGCCTTGTGAGCGCGGTGGCGGGAGCTCTTCTTCGTCTGGTGCGTAAGTGGGTGGTGATCCGGGTGCGCAGTTGTCGATGTGTACCATGCAATTGATAATGTTTGGTGTCTGTTGTGCAGGTGTTGAAGAGCGTCTTGGGGGACTTGCTTGAGTGGAAGCGACATGTGGATCTGCTGGACGGTAAACGCGAGGGCGGTTGCAGTTGATCTTGGAGTGCCCGGAAGTCTGGCAGTTGTGGCAGAACGGCGGCACGAAGGTAAATCCCCTGTTGTCGCGTTCTTGCTTGCCGCGTCGATTGTAGGTGTTGTCGTTTCTTCGTTGAGTGTAGAAGACTAACTGCTGCTGCTTCCTTGGTTGTCTTTCTTCGAACAGGTCCATCTCCTGTTGTTCAGCGTGAAGCTCGGCGCAGAGGTGCATCTCCGAAATCCTTCCGTGGGCGCGAAGAAGCGATCGTGTGGTTCTCCATTCTGGCCCGAGCCCGGCGAGGACAAGTGTCACGAAGCTTTCTTCAGTGATTGTTCCTCCGCACCGAAGCAGGCGGTCGCGGAGGGTCTGGCAGCGACTCATATACTGCATCGCCTTTTCCCCGGTCTTCATTTGTATTGTTGTTAGTTGTTGCATGAGTCTGCTTTGTGTCACGCTGTCGTTTGCTTGGTAGAGGCACTTGAGATGGTGCCATGCGAGTTCCGCAGAGTTTCCATAGCTCCTGTATGTTCTGATGCTCTGCTGTTCTTGTGGTGACAGGTTTCTCAGGAGAACCGTATACGCCAGCAGCGATTGATACGTGAAGATTTCTTGTTCCTTTCCAGTGCCGTTGCTTGGGAATGGCAGGGACCCGTTGAAGTATCCCAGGAGATGCGCAGCCTCCATCAGCAGCTCGAACTCGAAGCTCCAGGTAAAGAAGTCGTGTCCGTTGAACGGTGAGGATGTCTGCAGTTTAATCACGTGTGAAAACTGCGCCTGGAGACTTAAGATTTCGTTTGGTGTTTGTTGTGATGCAGCTGCTGTTGGTTGGGCACGGGGCGGCATGAACTCGAACGTCCCCGGTGAAGAGTGATAAGGCGCAAAGGTAGGCGCTTGATTGTGTCGCCCAAACGATGAGTTGTCGAGGCTCATCGGCGCTAATCCCATGTTTCCTCCGTTGCTCTGTGTTGAATGCGCAGGTGTCCTTGTCTGCTGCTGCTGGTCGAAGTGCGACATGAAGCTGAAGAACCTTTCCATAAGGTTGGGGTCCACGCTTGAAGAGGGAGATGGAGTCACCATCTCTGGTACTCTTCCCGTTGTTTCTTGAGCAGTCCCGGTCTCTGTCTGCAGTCCTGAGGTGTGCAGACCAGAGTTGCCGTGTTGAGTTTCTTGGCCGCTGGGTGAGCCTGTAGAGACTTTCTTGCCCTTGCTGTCCATGTCTTGTGATCAATGAAGTCGTTGAATTGAGTTGAGTTGCAGGTTGATGGAGCGCAGTTGCTGGGAGTTTGGTCTCTGACCAGCTCTCATACCATGTTGGGCTGAGAAAAAGCCCTTAGGATCTTTTCAGAGACTAAGTCCCGGTTGTAGAGTGAGACTTGAGTAGTGCAGCGGAAGTTGAGGCAGTTGAAACCTTGTACTAGTATATGAGAACAAGTGATTGATTAAAGGAACAAGCATACAGCAATATATAGGAGAAAAGAAAGCGGTTGTAGAATACAGTTACAGGAGCGGTTTATCGAGTCGCACAGCGACTCGATTGCCGCTTCGGTTACCATCCGTGATGTTGTAACGGTCAGTCGTAACCTCCAGTTGCGACCTTTCGAGTATTTTCGCATTCTTTGTCCGCCCCCTCGTGCAACCTCCGTTGACTCGCGTGCTCCACTGTAATCTTCCTCGAGTACAGTGTTATACTTCAGAAACGCTTAAGTCCTTTGAGATACTTCCAACAGTTTACAATGAGCATTCTTGCACAACAATGCCTGCAAGCACTGATCTCCGGACAACAAGCAGCCCCCTCACTGAGCCTCTTTTCGAGCACCGAAAACTACAAAGTGAGGGTTGAGAATATTCTCCTTTCAGTAACCCCAAGCTCCTTAAAAGGCCATTGCACAGCAAAACCTTCCTCCCCCAGCCTCTTCCACTTAAGGATTTGGATCGGCGAAGACCAGACAAGCCGCCTCACTGAGCCTCTTTTCGAGCACCGAAAACTACGAAGTGAGGGTTGAGAATGTTTTCCTTGCGGTACACTACAGGCTCCTGAGAAGGCCATTGCAGCACCTTCCCTCCAGCCTCTTCCACTATGATCTGGAGTGGGTAGGTATAAGAAACAGACAAGGCGGAATGAGTGGAGGAAGATGAGCGTGACGAGTAGGTGGAGTCACGAGAAGTGAGCTCCAGGTTAAGAGGTCCAAACGAAAGGCAGCCATAGCAAAACCGCCGTTGCACAACATTTCCCCCGGCCTCTTGCACTAGGCACTGAAAGAGCCACACATTGGACACAGGTAAGGCGCGCCAGGGGAGACGCTGTGGGGATGAGTGGGTTTAGGGTAAGCAATATTTACAGGAGTAACTGAGTAACAGTACCCGAGAAGCACACTCTTTTCATTCGGATGTCACGTTTGTGTAGACTCAAAACTCACCTCGGGGAAGCGATATCCACACTGGTAACGGTACCTGAGAAGCACATGTATCCCATTCTGATGTAGGAGCAATCTATTGAACACAGGTTGACACGACAAAGGTACGCCAGGAGAGATAACGTGGGGATGCGTGAGTCTACTAGAAGCACAGGTAGTCCCTCCCAGGAGTAACTGAGTCACGGTACCTGAGAAGCACAGGTAGTCCCTCCCAGGAGTAACTGAGTCACGGTACCTGAGAAGCACAGGTATCCCATTCTGATGTTGGAGCCAGCCTCGGGTACACATGCGCCGACCCCTCCGCAACCCGCATAAATTTCAACGAGCTGCCCATCGCCTCCACTTTGGGCTCCTTAAACTGCCCAATAAACTTCTCCGTCTCAGGCGTGCTGTGCGACAAGGACCCCATGATCACCAGCCCAGGGTCAGCGTCCGAATATTCAGCTGCCCGGATCGGCTTATCCTCAGGCGGAGCGGACGAATCTGATTGGCTGGAATGGTCCCGCAGGAAGGCTCCTTTACCGGCAACGGCCCAGTGCGTCTTCTTGAGGCAAGGCGTGTGCACGACCCCTAGAATGGGGCGGTCTCCTTTCACCAGAGCGATGTTCACTGTGAACTGTTGGCACAAGGGTGGGAACGGGAGAAGGGGGGAAGGGGGGAACGGGGGAACGGGGGAATGGGGGAACGGGGGGAAGGGGGGATCGGGGGGAAGGGGGGATCGGGGGGACGAGGAAAAGTGGGTCTTCTGGAGGCAAGGCGTGTGGACCACCCCTAGAATGGGACGGTCTCCTTTCACCAGCGCAATGTTTACTGTGAACTGTAAGCTCAGGGGAGGAAGGGAGAATGGTGGGAAGAGGGGAAGTGGGGATCGTTTAGTGGGGATCATATCAGAGGCAAGGCGTGTGGACGACCCCTAGAATGGGACGGTCTCCTTTCACCAGAGCAATGTCCACTGTGAGCTGTGGGCCCAGGGACGACAGGGGGAATAAGGGGAGTGGGGATCATACTAGAGGCACGGCTCCTAGAATGGGGCGGTCTCCTTTCACCAGAGCGATGTCCACTGTGAACTGTATGGGGGGAAGAGGAGGGAAGGAGGAGGGAAGGGAGAGGGAGGGGGGAGGCAGGGGGGGGGGGAGGGGGAAGAAGGGAAGGGAGTGGGAATTGTTGCGAGCGTGGGAAGTGAATCTTTGATTAAATGGTTCCCCCTGATAAGTGCTATGTTCACTGTGCATTACGTGCATATGGGTAGGTGTGGGGGGGACGGGGGGGATTCTACGAGAGTCAGAGGTTCTTTGTCTCTCCCATCCGTACTCCACGGCGCACATCTGCCTCCATCCCCGTTACTAGCTCACCTGCCCATTTCGCTTTATAAACTCCTTGGTGCCGTCTAGCGGATCCACACACCACCACAGCTGGTACCCCTTCCGGACGGAATAAGGCACCAGCTTCGTCTCCTCGCTGACAATCGGCACGTGCGGCGCGATTCGCGCCAGCTCGCTGCAGATTAACGCGTTGGCCTTAGAGTCGGCGTCTGTGAGCGGAGAGTGGTCAGACTTAACAACCACGCCCCAGTCACTGGTGTTACACGGGAGAGAAGAGATCATTGGAGAAAGTGAGAAACGTGAGTAAATGAGGGACGACTTCTGAGTCGACTCAAAAGCGTCTGTGAGCGGAGAGCGGTCCGACTTAACGACCACGCCCCAGTCGATGGGATTACAGATCAGAAGGAAAAGACGGATGTAAAACAGATCAGGGGAATCACAGGAAGAGAGAATAAGACGAAACAGAGCAAGCTAGAAAGGATCGTATGGTGCATTGGATCCAACAAGGGGGTCTGGAAGTGAAGAGCAAGGGGACCCACGTTGAGGGGACCTACGTTGAGGGAAGCCCTCCACAAGTGCATGAGAAACCGCAGATCGCATGGGGAGGGAAGGAGTATTGTGCGATAGAAAACGGTGCACGGGCTGACGGGGTAGGAAAAAAAGGGGCACGTGCGTTTGGGTATAGAATGAGGAAGCAACGGGGAGCGAATGTGAAGGTCAAGGGATACCGAGGAACACCATTTATATCCCTTCCACGTACTCTTCGTGGCTCTTGTAAACTTCCAGGATCGCGCGTCCCGCCGCCTCTGCGATCTCAATAACGTCAGCAGGACGGAAGTCCACGTCAACTTGCATGCGTACGGGGTCCTGACACGCGGCCATTTTGAACCGTACGGACTGAACGGAATTGATACTGGTTGAATGGATCCGTACAACGTTCGTCCTCCCGATACAGGACCTTTTCGACAATGAGGCGGAGCTACAGCTATTTCCTAGTCGTCGTTGGAAGAGAAGAGCTTTTGAAGAACAGCTGTCGGCGAAGGCACATTCAGCGACCGCGAGACTCACTGAGGAGGAACCAGCGATAGAACGCCGTAAAGCAATGGATCTGCTAGCCAGATCGCCGGAAACACAACAGAATGACGGCACGCACGCAAGCATGAATAACACAAAACGAGCCACGTATTTTCTTCAAGCTTCGGTTTGCTTCGGATCCTAGGCGTAAATCACGCAAACCAGGAGTACCAAGACAGAGTTTCCCAGGAATCTCGACCCAGGAGGTTTTGAAGTCTCTCAAAACTTTACATCAGGCCAGCCTAGGGATCTCCGAGGCGAATCATCATTCTCTGGAGCAACCGGCGTTGGGGGGCAGCAAGCGGGACTTCAGCTGGAGAAGGAACAACGAACTTGGACAGTCGGTTGCTGAGGCTGATTGGACCGACACGGCGTGGCATTGCGTGGCGGAGAATGGTTGGTGAATATTCAAAAATGGTCTGCATACGCGCCTGACACGTTCTGCCCGCTGTCCACAACGAAATTGCGTTGGAGCTTGCCAAACAGCATTCCTTGCCAGTTTCACCCTCAGCATTGAGTACTTAGAAATAGTGAACAATTTATGTTGCACATAATTCTTCAGTTGGATGGAAGAACCAAGCAAAAGATGTAAAGTAGTTTACTGAAGTTAGCCAACCCACATGATGCAGGTCTAAGCAAGCTGAAGAGCTGGCTGGACCACACCACCCTTCACCGCAGCAAAATCAACCCAGGCACCAGGAGCATCACTTTCAAACTCCGCCTTTACCTTCACACCAGCACCTCGCCTCCCCATCTCAATAGCCTCAGCAGATGCCGCCAAAGCTTCCACACAGATCGTCCTCACAACATCAAATCCCTCATCATTGAGGGACACTGCCTCCAAGAGTCGCCAGGTCCAGGCCTCAGTGGCATTGTCGTAATCCTCCCGGCGCTTGCACACAATGTGGCCAGAGATCTCAAACACCGCAGGATTCACCTGAGTGTCCAGCAGCTCCTGGCTAATCTCACCCTTGGCCTGCCTCTCTGCATACCTCTGCAGGACGCATAATGGGGAAAAAATGGGAGGGGAGTAGGGATTAGATCGGATCGGGTAAACACAACAAGCGTGAAAGCACAAAACACGCTAACACATGAACAAAAATTCCCATGAATGAGGATGCAAGGGCAGGGATGTGGCAAGGGAATGTACCTGAGGGATAAGGAACAGCCGCATGCCCCGATCCACGATAAACATGTTAAACGGAATATTCTCTTCCTGGAGCTTGCAGCACGCAGCCGCAGCAGCCGATGCCATCTGCTCCAGGGAGGATCCCGCCTGGAACACCATGGTCTTCACAGGGTAATCTGTGAGCTCCCCGACCTTGCAATCATTGGTAGATACAGCCACGTCTCTCCATGCCGCACGCTCGATAGCGAACGGTAGGTCAAGGAAGTAGGCCTGGAAGTGCAGGTGGTTGATCGTGGCGAACGCGCCGAGGCTGTTGTACCCAATCCTGAAGGCAGGGTCGTTGACTTCCGAGGCTAGGCGGAGGGCCATGAGCAGACTGGCCTCATCCATGCGCTGGGGAATCTTGTCCAGCACGCGGGGGACCAGCAGCACATGGCCATAGTCGATGGGAGACACCTGTAGGGAATGCAATGAGCAGCGGGTAGATTGAAGTGGGAAGAGCCATGAGCGTCTGGCCTCGTCCATGCACTGCAAGATCGTGTCCAGGATCCGGGGGACGAGCAGCACGTGGCCGTAGTCGAATGGCGACACCGGCGGATAGCGCATAAGAGCAACGGGTGAAATGTGGGGCCTTAGTGGAAGGAAATCTCCATCAGCAGGACAAACCCATATTATGGAGAATGACAACTCGGAGCGGGTGGATCTGACCACAGATAAGATTTACAGAATCACAAACCGGTCCAGGGACTCAGATTGATGGCCACAATCGACAACGGCGACTTAGTAAAAGCAACTTTCCTCGTCTTTCCCTTCTTAAAACCCAGAGTACATCAACCTTGGTCAAGTTTCAAGAGTTGACACGAAGTTGGTCCAGGTACTTACATTGATGGCCATGATGCTGGGGCTCTCCTCCACAACAGCAGCCTCGTAGAAGCGGCTCTCCTCGTCCTTGCCCTCCTCGAAGCGGAAGAGCATCTCGTTCTGGCCGACCTTGGTGAAGTTGAACTTGGAGCCGTCGAACTCCTGCAGCACCTTGTCCACGCGGAACTCGGTAGGGCGCTTCTTGGAGTGCCGGCCCTCGTTCAGCTGGGCTATGAAACCCAGAGGGCCGTCAATTACCTGTTAAGTGTAACAAAACGGAAATAGAAACAATAAAAGGAAATGAGAATCTGAACTTGGAGGCGTAGAACTCCTGCAGCACCTTCTCCATGCGGAACTCCGTGGGGCACTTCTTGGGATGCCGGCCCTCGTTCAGCTGGGCGATGAAACCCAGAGGAGATAACCTACACGTTACAAAACGAGAATGATCATTGTTCTTAGTACCAAAATAAGCTCATTCCATAATCTATTTCAAGAGGAAATTTCTCGCGTTCTGTAGCTCGCAGATACCAGAATCATTTTGAGTGTTCGGTGGACGTACCTTTGATTCGCAAGCCGTCACGTCATAGCGGAACAGCCCCTCCTGAAACTTCTTCTCCCACTGAAGTCAAAGAACAAGAGGAGGCAACAAGAATGCAAGAGGAGGTGATGACAGGAAATAAAGCTGACCACGAAGCACAACCAGCACCGGCAGCCAGCACCACCAGCAACAGCACCCAGCTCCAGCACCTAACACCCATCACTCACACCAACACCAACACCAGCACCAGCACCAGCACCCCTTGCTCAAACACCACCCGGCATTCCTCACTCAACAGCAATGTAGAATGAGATCGGTACCTCGGAGGTGATGTGCTTGCAAAGCGAGAAGGCGTAACCAGCATCGCACCAAGCATCGTAATGGGCATCGCACCATTGCGCATCATACCTCGGAGATGATGTGCTTGCGAAGCACCACCACCACCACCCAGCACCCGGTGCTCAGCCCTCACCACCCGACAAATTTCATTATTCACGTAAGGATCCTCAACAGAACGAGCAGCGCACCGAGCATCGTGACGAGTATCGTACCTCGGAGGTGATGTGCTTGCGAAGCGAGAAGGCGTCGTCGTCGTGAATGTCGCTCGCGCCACCGGACGACAGCGAGTCGTCGTCGGACGACGACAACGACTCGCGGATTGACAGAAGATCGTCGTACGACGCGTAGCTCGTCGTCGCGCCGAGAAACCCGGGCTGGAAGCCGCCACCGTCTAATTCGGTGTACGACTGGATGCGCTCCGGCTTGGTGCAGGGACGCTTGGCGTACGCATACAGAGGCATGCGAGCACCTGCAGTTGGGAAACGGAAGAAAAAGGAGTGTACATGCGATGAAGAGATGACTTTTGAGTCGACTCAAAAAGTCAAACGGAAGAAACAGGAGCGGACATGCGATGAAGAGGGAGTGAGTGCATGGTAGGGTATGGAGAGAGACCAATCATGGCCACACTGAAGACTGAAACATCGAAGCAGATTTTAGGGGGTATGAAGTTGACAAGTACCGAACAAACAATCCCTGATAACGAAATCAAGGGTGTGAAGGTGAGACGTACCGATGGTGCAGCAGGTGTTGAGACAGCGGCGACCGCAGCCCGCGGGCTGGTCCTCCTCCTGGTTAAGGGAGACCACCGTCGGAACCTTCTTAATCGTCATCATCGTGACCCCGAACCTCTTCGCAGGAAATTCAAGCCGCGTCACAGGTGTAAGACCCTTCCCTCCGGCCTTTCCCCTTCCAATTTCTAGCAGGTTCCCTCCCTTAGGTTGCCTCAGGGAACCCTAAGCAGACTAAGTAGCGACGATTTGAGCACAGAATGCCTACAACCGCCGTTCAGTCCGCAACTACTAAGGGAGTGACGCTACCACCTCCTGCGAGGAAGAGAAGGTCCGAGGGACTTCCCCCCTCAGACGGAGATGCTCCCCGACCACCGTGCGCGGAAACGGGACCCAGGCACAGCCTTCCCTCGGTCTCCAGCTGACTCGCGAAGGCGTAACGGTTACCCGCGTTACCCGCCGGAAACGCCGTGGTGGCCAATGTGATGGCACGGACCAGACCCGGAGGGGCTGGCCAGTGCAATTGCTTAGAGACTCACGAGAGCGCGACTCACGGCGATGAGAACTAACGACACGCGCGAGCAAAGGCTCTGCGAGCGGAAGCTGAGGGAGAGAACCGGGAGTTTGGCTCAGGAGAAAGCGCGAATTAGAGCCAGCAAAAGCGCTCGGAACTAAAAGTCCTGCTGCTGCCAGCCACGCGAGAAGACAGTAGGATGGGACGAAGGAAACCAACCAGGCCGTGCACTTGACTGGCGGTAAGGCGTTTGAGCGTTGACGACGACGCTAGGAGAACCAAGCAAGCGCTGACCAGTTACCAGAATTTCCAAGAATAAGGGGCTAGATGCTGCACTAGAGGTTCAGGAAAGCCTAGTCGTTAATGCTGGAGGACCAGACTGAGGCGGGATTGGTTATAGGAGACAGCGCGAGTTAGTGAAAATTAGGGATTGGAGCGAAGTGGCGCGGGAAAATCGACGTTACCAGCGCTGGCGGGGAAGGGGGAGGGGGAACGAGTGTTAGTTTAGCCAACGGGGGGTGGGTGGTGTGTGGGGGAGGGCTCTGGCGGGTCGAGCAGCCCCGCGCCAGGGAGGTTGGTAGGAGGACAGGCGGAGGGACCACATGCGGAGATGCGGAGCTAATACCATTGCAGCCCCCAGTTAGGCGGAGGATGCGGAAGGCGGGAGGCGCCGGGTACAGTAAATAGAAACTGGTGGCTGGGGAATCTGGGAAAGAAATGACTGGCACAGCTCTCGGGACGGGATGACGGGATTGTGCGGAGCCTCGGGGCTGTGCGGCTGGGGAGGGGGAGGCAGAATCGGGGGGTGCGTGTTCGGTGGGAGGAAGGAGATGACGGAATTGGTGACATGGCCGCTCGTGGTTGGCTGAGAGGTCGAGATCACAAGCAAGTGACGGAGATCGAGGCTGGGGTTCCGTCAAACCAGGGGCTTGGTCTGGCTTTGTTCCCAATCACGGGAACCGCCAGCACGGTTTGGCGACGTCCCACGGGAATCGTGGCTGTATAATGGCCCTTGGATATACTCCTGAAATCGTAGTCGCTTTCGTGCATGCTTTTGTCAGCTTTGTGCTTTCGTTAGTGGTCGCCCTTCCACGAAGTTTATGCTTGGGAAAGGGTGACACGGGCACGAGCATTTCGTGCGAGATGCGAATCCCACACCCACCCTCGATTCGAACCAGCAAGTGTAACCGCCTCATCCACCCAAACCAACACTGGCGGGAAGTTTGGAGCCTGAGCAGCGCGGATCCTGGACCACATTTCTCCGGTGTCCGTCCTGTCTGCTCTTTACCAAGGGCGCTGCGAGAAATTTGGTGCACCCCCAACACAGGCAATGCCACGTGGCGGAGGCCCCTTGTTGTGGTGCGTTGTGCCGACAGAGATTCGCCAATCTCCACCGTTCCTTCCTGTCTCTCTCGCATCGTTACCGTCAATGATTGATGTCGTGGCGACCGATCCAACCAAGGCTTCCACCAGCCTGGAGTTATAGCCACTGCTCGTGGCTGGTCATCCACCGCAATCACCAAGCAAGCACCCATCGTGTCACCTGTGCGTGAACAATCAGGAGGATATCGTACACTGTACAATGGACTCGAACGGCTCGCGTTTGAATGCTCTCTACACTGTACCCTGCTTGTATCTTCCCGAAGCAAACCCACACCGCTTTCAATCTCTCTCACAGCCAGTTTGAACCCACAGTACCCCGGGCCTGGTGTACCAAGGCCCTTATACAGACACCCTCACAACACTCACAAGTTCACAACACCCTAGTTTGTATTCCTAAAGTTTTTCAAGATCCATACGTCCTCTAACACATATAATTCATATACACCAATCGAATTTCATCACAAAAATATATTACCTGCGGACGTTTCATGATTTGTGGTACTTATATGTGATGTGCGGCCAAGTTATTCGAGCATTCATTCCACCAATATGATCATCAATAACATTTCAAGCATGTTTCATAGAGGAACTTATCTTTGGTAGTTCACCGCTTTGCCTCAATTCGTAGCAGCGGTGCCAATAAAACCATTGCCCACATACAATTTTGATTCATCTATAATACATGACTATCTGATATTTCACATCCTTACACAAAATTTCATCAGGACAACAAATTCTCGCTGTAAGCTCAGGCGATGACCTTGAGGACTACAGGTGACTCCAGCCTCCTAGTCCCTAACAGCCGAACCCTCGAGATTGTCATTGGCCCTCCTAGCCCGCTCATCGCCACTTCACCTCCACCTCACACTTCCTCAGAAGTCTTTACTGAATACCTGCACTGGAGGAGACCCCTTTTCCTCTGTTTTCGTAAGTCACTTCCATCAGAGTCACATTGCTCCGTCGGTTCCAGCACTGCATACGCTGATTTTCTCTGCCAGCAATGGCGACGCCACGCCTTGGTCGGTGCAAGATTGGTTCACGCAAATGCAGATCTCCATTAGCAGCTGCTGCCAGCCAACATTGGCTGCTTTACTTCACTACTAGTTTCTGGCGATCCAGTCTTCTTCGAGCTGCAGACTCCTACCCTAGCGGCTATTGCGACTGTACTCTTCGCTCTTGGGATCCATGATCAGACAAGCCATCCTCAGTCGTTTCGCGCTCGTAATATCGACGGACAGAGTCTTCGCAACCCTTCCGTGTCGAATAAAACGGATTTTTTTGCAGGCAGACTGACGCAGCCTGAGTTCTGTTTGTGACGCAGTAACCCTTACTCATAACGCAGCATTATATAACGCCCGGAAACGACAACCCTAACTCGGAAGCTCTCATTGACCATCAATTGAAGAAAATAAACCCCTTCACGAAACTCCTCATGATGGGAAGTGCGACGAGTCGTCGCGTGATTCGCGGCGGCAATCTCGAGGGAGGGCTGGCTCCGGCTACTAAATTTCTCGCACTGCTTCTTCACGTGGGGATGTCTTGCTGGCATTTCAGCCCGCACATGACGGCGGCAAACGCGCAAATGCTGGACAATTCACAAGGTAAGAGCGCAGCGCAGAACGACTCTCGTTCAGTTGGTTTTTGAAATTTCTCAAAAGCCAACTGAACAATAAAGCAGAGAAACTTACCGTCTTGGGAGGTCTTGTTGTTGGCGATAAAGATAGTTACTGCTGGAAAGCGCATGGTTTGACGCCGTTCAATGCATGCTCTGGTCTGTAATGAGGTGTATTACGTCGCCGAGCGCCAGCGCCGATTGCTCGCATTCTTGGAAACGAAACACCACAGTACCAAATATAAGAGAAACCCCCCCCCCCCCCCCCCTCTCCCCCCTCTCCCCCCTCCCCCCTCCTCCTCCTCTCTCCTCCCTTTTTTTTTGGTTCTTCCTCCTTCCCGCAGCATTTGCTTTGGAGCAGATACTGCTGGAGTGGGGCGTTGAATCTTTCGGAGGAGCATCTGGATGGGATTGCAAGAACGCCACGTGGCTCTCATGCACAGCGGATGGCTTCGTTACTGGCATGTAAGTCCCGGAAATTCGTTATAAGCACATGGGTCCCACAGTTCGTTATAACCAGGGAGCATCCGAGTCAAAATCAGGTGAATTACACGGGCTCTGTGACTAGCAAGGATGTGTAAGCGGGAGAAGTGCATTATCGTTTTTTCCGATGTGGCTTCCCTCCTCTCGTCCCTTCCGTTCCCCCCTCATCCCTTAACCCTCCCTCCCCCACCCCCCCCCCCCCCCTTTGTCGTCTCCAACTCCCTTTCCCGACCTTCTACCCCCCACCCCCTCTTCCCCGCTCCCTCCCCCACCTCCCCCCCAGGTCCATCACTGACACGCCCATCACGGGATCTCTTCCAGACGCCATTAGCGCCCTCTCCTACCTCACAGCACTGTAAGCGGCTTGTTAGGAGTTCGTCCGCATGTCCTTCATATTTCAAAAATTTCGCTACACCGCTCTCACTCACTGCTCCCTTTGCCACCGTGCGCGCGCCTCTTTCCTCTCACTGTCCTCCGCTCACATTTTGAGGTGACTAAACAGCCCACTCTTACTCCTGTTCCCTTCCCCGCGCATCGTCTGTAACACCACCCACCCCCACTGCCTCGTGTGCTACTTTGCGCCTGATTCTCCCCCCAGCCCCACTGTCCCCCTCCCACTCCTTTCCCTCCCCTCCTCAGCATCAACCACAACACCACCCTTAGCATCACCCCGCCCTCCTTGCCTTAGCCCCTCCGTCCCCTCACCCCCCCTCCCCCCATTCCCCCCCCTCCCCCCCTTCCCCCCCCCCACCCACTCCCCTCCCTCCCCCTCCTCAGCACCATCCGCAACACCACCCTTGCCGGGCCCCTCCCTTCCGCACTGCAGTCCCTCTCAGCCCTCCAATTCCTGTCAGTTCCCTTCCTGGCCCCTCGCTAGTACCTTAGTACCTTGGGTTTGCATCCTTCTTCCCTTCTGCGCCTCTCTCTCACTCCCTCTTCCTTCAAAAGGCCTCTCACTTCCCATCCCAGCCCTTCAACACGTCTCACTTGTCTTCCCAGCACCCTATAAGCACTTCTCTGGCACCACGATTCCCGAGTACTTTCAGTGTCCTTTCCCGTGTACTTTCGCTGCATTTCCTTCTCTTTTCTTCTCTTTCCCTCTTCTCCCGCTTCTTCTCTGCACCCATATCCACCCTCCCCCCTCAGCTCCATGCCCTATAACAAGTTCTCTCGCACCACTTCTGAGTACCCTGGTCTCCCCCGCTCGCCCCCCCCACCACCTTCCCCGTTCTCTTCCCTTCTCTTCCCTTCTCTTCCCTTCTCTTCCCTTCTCTTCCCTTCTCTTCCCTTCACCCTACTTCACCGCAATGCACTCCTCGTCCTCCCTCCCAGCTCCATGCCCTACAACAAGTTCGCTGGCACCATTCCTGAGTACCTTGGTTCGCTCTCCAAGCTCTCCTTCTTGTGAGTGCCCAGCCTGGTTGCCTGCGCTGTCCGCTGTGTTAGAGGTTGAGTGCAAAAAATGATAGTGGACGGGATAATGTTTCTGTGTGTGGAGGTCTGTCCGGGTCGGATCGCAATGTTCCAGATGCTACAGTGTCAGACACCATTTCAGTACCTGTTTTTTCCTCTGTGCGCATGCACACACCCGTGTGCGTGGTTGTCTATGAGCATGCATGCATGTCCGTGTGCCTGGTTGTCTATGCGTGCATGCATGTCCGTGTGCCTGGTTGTCTATGCGTGCATGCATGTCCGTGTGCCTGGTTGTCTATGCGTGCATGCATGTCCGTGTGCCTGGTTGTCTATGCGTGCATGTCCGTGTGTCTGCACGCGTGGCTGCTTGCAGGGATGTGTTCTCCAACGCCTTTGAAGGGCCCATCCCAGACACGCTCACTCTCCTCACAGACCTTGCCCTGCTGTAAGTTCCGGGCAAAACGGGGGATGGGTAGACTGGGATGGGTAGAACTGGGATGGGGTTGGCTGGCTGGGCTGCTGGGCTTGGACTCATCCTCACTGGGCTTGTCTGACTGATGCGACTGCCACATTCTTCATCTCCCCACCCCTGCACCCCTCCATCCCTCCTTCCATCCCTCCTTCCATCCCTCCTTCCATTCCTCCTTCCATCCCTCCTTCCATCCCTCCTTCCATCCCTCCTTCCATCCCTCCTTCCATTCCTCCTTCCATCCCTCCATCCTACCCTCCAAACGTCCCTTCACTTCTGCGAACGTCATCTCAACAGGTCCATTCCCCGTCCGTCCACGCATCCGTCCGACCCTCCTTTTCTCCATGCCTCCACTCCCCATCTCCCCATCTTCCCATGCCTCCACCCCCCATCTCTCCACGACTCAACTTACCGCCAGCAAGATTGGCAACTGGCATCTCAACGGGTCCATTCCCCGTTCATGCATCGGTGCCTGCTTTTCCCCATGCCCCATCTTCCCACTTCCCAACTCCCCATCCCTCTTTTTCCAACCCACCGCCAGCAAGATTGGCAACTGGCATCTCAACGGGTCCATTCCAGGCGACCTTGGCAACCTCAAGGCACTCACTTTCCTGTAAGCACGGGATGGGAGCGCAGGCGAATGCAGGGGTGTAGGGGCGAGCAGGGATGTGGGGAGAGCAGGGATGTATGCAGGGGCGAGCTCTCATGGGTTGTCATGAGCTGTCATGAGCTGTCATGAGCTGTCATGAGCTGTCATGAGCTGTCTTAGTGTCCGTTTTAAGCCTCCTTAAGCGACTGTGCTTGGTCCTTGCACTTGTGCCTGTACTCCTCCCGACACCTGACCACCCAGCACTCCCAGGCACAACCCAACACAACCTCTCCATCCCTTCTCCCCCTTCACGCCCTTCTCCCCCTACTCCGCTCCCCCCCTACTCCCCTCCCCCCCCCTCTTCCCTGCCTTTAGTGAGCTGCAAGGCGCAGAGATGGACGGGCCATTCCCAGATTCCATCACCAAACTCACCAATCTGGAGCTCCTGTAAGAAATCGCTTTTGAGAATCTACAAAATGAGCTCCTGTAAGAAATCGCTGGGGGGAGGCTCAACGTCTGCTAGAACTACTGTGCGTGACGAGTCCATTTTTTAGGCGCCTCAGAAATAGGGTCCTCTAGAACTGTCATGTGCTTAGAAATAGTCGATAATGTCTGAAGTCAGCAACTGTAAGCTGCTGTTTGAACTTAGAAACGGTAAAACTTATCAGAATGTCAGCTTGCAAACTGTTATTTGAGTTAAATCAACCCATTATCACTATGCTTCTCCTCCCCTTCCATCCCCTTCCATCCCCTTCCTTCCCCTTCCTTCCCCTTCCTTCCCCTTCCTCCCTCTTCCAGCCACTTGGGCCTGACAGGGCTGCACGGCTCCCTACCGGATGGGATTGGAGATCTGACCAAGCTAAGCAATTTGTAAGCACGATACAACGGCGAAAACGGTGGTCGTGTTTCTTGCGCTTGCTGGTTTTCTCAGAAACTAATCTCATCTTATCAAGCAGTGTTAGGCCTTTGAGAATTCTAGGCGACTTTTGAGTCGACTCAAAATTCAACTCGAAACTTTTCTCATCTCATCAAGCAGTTTTAGGCCTTTGAGAATTCTCAAAAACCATACTCAGCAACTTGTAAGCAGGGTACAAGGGCAAGATATATGGTATTTTTGTTCCAACTGCCACTCACTCACTCGCCTTTCACATTATCTCTTTCTGCTGACTGCCTGCCACGCATCCTTCCGCCCCTCCTTGTTAGTAGTTCGTTTTCAGACGTCTCAAAACGAAATTACTATAACCTGTCACACTGCCTGCCACTCGGCCCTCTGCTGCTCCTTGTCTCTCCACCTCCTTCCCTTCAGTGGCGTGCATCGGAACCGTCTCTCTGGACCCATACCCTCCACTCTCGGCCGATTGACTGCAGTCGTACGATTGTAAGTGTGGGCCCCTCTCTCTTCCATCCTCCCCCAACACTCCCTGTACGCACAATCTGTCATCCTTCACCCTTTCTCTCACCCTCCTCTGTAGACCATTCTTCCACGTCCTGATTTATCTCAGTCTGTCAGTCACTGGTTGCCCTTTTCCTCATTCCCCATTTCCCATTCCTCCTTCTTCCCCTGATTTTGCAGGGTGTTTTTGAGAATTTGCAGGGTGTTTTCGAGAATTCTCAAAAACATCTGATTAATCTCAGTCTGTCACTGGTTGCCCTTTTCCTCATTCCCCATTTCCCAATCCTCCTTCCCCAGTGAGCTGGACGACAACAGCTTCAACGGAACCATACCGGCAACTCTTGGCGACCTCACCCTCGTAACCAAATTGTATGTCTCCTTTCAGCCACCAGCCCTGGGCCCTGGCACACACACTAAACGATTCCTTTTTCAGGCGCCTGAAAAACAACTCTTGGCGACCTCACCCTAGTAACCAAGTTGTATGTCTCTTTTCAAACCAAGCGTGATTTGTGAGGCCCTCAAAACCCACTGGCTCAAGCAGAGCAGTGACCCGAATTGCTGGGAGGCGATTGTGCCCTTGGCCTTGTGCATATCACTGGGAGGATCCAATCCAGGAACCATTTTTTAGAATTCTAAAAAAAATGACTCCACTCTAGCAGGAACCACTACCACTTTATCCATGATTCTACTCATGGCTCCCTACGCCTTACTTGTACCATGTGTCGTGTTGTCTATTATGCTACCGTTTCACTCACATAACGTCCTACCCCCCTCCCCCCTCCTCCCCCCGTTTCCCAACCTCTCCACTCTCACCGCAGCAGATTGAGTGCCAATCACCTGATTGGGAGTAAGAAGCGCCCTCTGAAACTTTTTTTTGAATCCTGCCCATCCCACCACCCCTCTTCCCCTCCCCCCTCCCCCCCCCTCCCCCCCCCTCCCCCCCTCTCACCGCAGCAATCAGAGCGCCAATCACCTGACTGGCCCTGTCCCCTCATTTTCACAATTTGTCCATTACCCATTCACCCCCTTCTCCGCCCCCCACCCTCTTCCTTCCTCTCAACCACCCCCCCTCCCCGTCTCACCGCAGCAATCTGAGTGCCAATCACCTGACTGGCCCGGTTCCTGAATCCCTCGCTAACCTCACTCAAGCCACTGTCCTGTGAGTGTTGATGTTGCAACTTGAGTGCCAATCACCTGACTGGCACTGTTCCCTCGCCCCTCGTGATAAAAGTATACTTTTGAGGCGCCCCAAAACTACACTGTCCTGTGAGAGTTATGCTGCAATGCAACTTGAGTTCTGATAGCCTCACCGGCGCTGTTCCCTCGCCCCCGGTGATAGAAGTCTAGTTTTGAGGCGCCTCAAAGCTACACTGTCCTCTTGAGCGTTGATGTTGCAATGCAGCTTGAGTTTTAATTGCCGCACCGGCGCTGTTGCCTCACGCCTCGCGAATCTCACTCTCTAAGTACTGTGCTGTGAGTAGCGTGAGTGTGTGTGCGTGTCTGGGAGTGCTCCTCTAAGTTCTAACTACTGGGCTGCGTATCGCGAGTGTGTGTGCATGTTTGTGACTGTGCCGTATCCTGCCTGCCCTGCGGCTGCTGAGTGTTTCAGTCAACTGCCTTTCGAGACCAAAGCCATATTTTCTCAACATCCCCTCGCCCATCCTCTCCCATCCTCACCCATTCTCACCCATCCTCCCCCATCCCAGGGACTTTTCCAAGAATCCCCTCAACGGCTCTCTTCCTCCCTCGCTGGGTGCATTAATCAGCGTGGCGAATATGTAAGTCTTCCAGTAACCAGGTTGCGATTGAATTTGCTCAAAACGTGGTGAATCTGGGCTGGAGTGTGAGTCGGCTCAAAATTCGCCTCTTCATCCCTCCCTGGGTGCAATAAGCAACGTGATTGAAATGTGAGTGCCCCTGTACATGTGTGCCCCTATATGTGAGAGTTTTGTATGTGAGTGTTCCTGTGACAAATTATGGGAGCGTCCCTAAAAAGCATATGTACCACTGGTCCAAAAAACAAGGTATAAGAGGCCCAAAAATAAGCGTAAAAATTAACACTGGCTCTACGTGGTCTCTATCTTACTACGTCGTTTTAGTATATTTTTTAGACGCCTCAAAACTAAACTATATTCCTTGATATCTTTCCAAATGCCTCTCGTTGCTCCGCACTCCTAGCTCTCCTCCTACTGTGCTCCGCACTCCTAGCTCTCCTCCTACTGTGCTCCGCACTCCTAGCTCTCCTCCTACTGTGCTCCGCACTCCTAGCTTTTGCCCGCGCTCTCCTTCTGAGCGCTCTCTCTTAATGGCACCTGGCTTGAGTGCCTCGCTAACCGACCAGGTGGAGAGGGGCGTTTGATCCCCTCTCGATGTCCTCCCTTCTGCACTGCACACCCTTCTCGAGTGTAATGAGTCGATTTTTGAGTCGACTCAAAAATCCTCTGCACTGCACACCCTTCTCTCTATCCATCTCAGTTCCCTCTCTATCACATGGCTTGACTGGGATAGGTTTTTGAGATTTCTTAAAAACCTATCTCAGTTCCCTCTGTCACATGGCTCCAGTGCCTCACTAGCCCATCAACCAGCCATGTGGACTGGAGCAATCGATCCCCTTTTGTGGTTACGATTTCTGAGTTTTCTATTTTATGCCTTGGCCCGCTCGCTCCATCTCAGCTCCCTCTACGGCACGTGCCTCGAGTGCCCCGCCAACCAGCCCTGTGGAGTGGAGCAGTCGATCCTCTCTTTATATCTATCTCATTTCAAGTTTCTATTTTGTGCCTTGGCCCGCTCGCTCCATCTCAGCTCCCTCTACGGCACCTGGCTCGAGTGCCCCGCCAACCAGCCCTGTGGAGTTGACCAGTCTCCCCACTCCGCTTTCTGCAAGCTCTGCTCCGGCTTCTGCAGACTCTGCAGCTCCTACACTGGTGAGCTGACTTTTGAGTCGACTCAAAAGCCACTGTGCAGCGCCTATACAGGTGAGTGCAGGAATGCTTGCTCTTGCAACCCAGGTACATTCACAGCCTCGACCAGATTGCCCCGCCAACCAGCCCCGTGGGGTGGACCAGTCTCCCCTCTCGGCTTTCTGCCAGCTCTGCTCCGGCTGCTGCAGACTCTGCAGCTCCTATACAGGTGTGGGAAGATTGCATGCTGAATGCACTGCTGCACTGCACGAATGGCTGCATGCGTGAAAGACAAGAGCAGACCCCGCAGTCGGCCTTCTGCCAGCTCTGCTCCGGCTTCTGCAGACTCTGCAGCTCCAACACAAGTGAGTGCATGGATGTGTGCAAGCCTGCAAGCTTCTCATCTTCTGTTAGCATCAGCGTGCAGCACCTGCACGTCTGCCGTACAAGCCAACATCCTCTATTCCCTTTCCCTGCACCATCCCAATTGCTTCTCCCAGCCGACGTCTGCAGCACATTCCCTGTCAACCCCTGCGGTGTCGGTACTTGTGTTTCCGGGGGCAACACCAGCAGCGGCGGCAGCAGCAGCAGCCGAAGTGTCAGAAGCAGCAGCAGAGGTATAAGGGCCATAAGCAGCAGCAGCAGCAGCAGTGGCAGCATAAGGGCCAGCAGTAGCGGTGGTATCAGGGGCATCAGCAGTAGTGCTACCCCTGCCTACTACTCATGCTCCTGCCCTGCAACCACCTCTCCTGGCCTTCTCCCTGATGGCAACGCCACCTGTGTGCCCAAGACCACCCCCCCCGCACCACCATCCGCTGCGTCCCCATCCTCCCCCTCGCCCGCTCTCCCCTCCTCCCCCCCGCCTGCTCTCCCCTCCTCCCCCCCGCCTGCTCTCCCCTCCTCCCCCCTGCCCGCTCTCCCCTCCTCCCCTCCGCCCGCTCTCCCCTCCTCCCCCTCGACCACTCCCCCCTCCTCCCCCTCCCCCTCCCCTCCATCCTCCCCCTCCCCCTCCCCTCCGTCCTCCCCATCCCCCTCCCCTCCGTCCTCCCCATCCCCCTCCCCTCCTACATCCCCAACTCCTTCCCCTCCTACGCAAGCTCCCCCTTCTTCCTCTCCTCCTCCTCCCTCCTCCTCATCCTCCTCCCCGCCACTCGGAATGATCATTGGGGTAGCAGTCGGAGGAGGGGCCCTTATCGTCGCTTGTCTCGCCCTTGTCTTCATCCTCCTTAAGGGAAGGCCCGCTACAGCACACAATTCAGCTGGTGAGTTTCTAAGTCCCCTCCTCCTCCTCCTCCTCCTCCTCCTCCTCCTCCTCCTCCTCCTCCTCCTCCTCCTCCTCCTCCTCCTCCTCCTCCTCCTCCTCCTCCTCCTCCTCCTCCTCCTCCTCCTCCTCCTCCTCCTCCTCCTCCTCCTCCTCCTCCTCCTCCTCCTCCTCCTCCTCCTCCTCCTCCTCCTCCTCCTCCTCCTCCTCCTCCTCCTCCTCCTCCCCTTCGCTCAGAATGATAATTGGGATAGCAGTCAGAGCAGGGGCTCTTATCGTCGCATGCTTTACTCTGGTCCTCATCCTCCTAAGGGCAGACCCGCTACAGCCGCTGCTACAGCCTGGCAGAGGTACTACAGTCTCTTTTCTTTGATCCCTCATCTTCCCCCCCACCAACTGCCAGTCCCCGGCATGCTCCGCCGCTACAGCCTGGCAGAGGTGCTACAGGCGACTGGTGTCTGGGCTGGCTACAGACTGTTTGTAGTGTGCCCCTAATCCTTTGCTCTCCCCCACTTGTATTCCCACCAATCCCCGGCATGTTCTGCCGCTACAGCCTTGAAGAGTTGCTACAGGCGAATGACAGCTAGGCCAGCTACAGTCTCTTTACAGGCTCCCCCAATCCCTTCCTCTCCCCCCATTTGCCCCAGTCCCCGGCATGTTCCGCTGCTACAGCCTGGCAGAGGTGCTACAGGCGACTGACAACTGGGCGAGCTACAACCACCTGGGCAGCGGGGGCTATGGGGACGTGTACAAGGGGGTGCCGCCCTGCGCTAGGGAGGGGGGAGGAGGTGCGGGGGCTATTGGGGGAGCAGGGAGGGGATCAGGGAGGGGAGCAGGAAAGACAGCTGGTGAGGGGGAAGTTGGGATTACAGTGGAGGCGGGGGAGCCAAAAGTGTGGGCCGTGAAGCGCGCCAAGATACGCACCAACGACTTCCACAAGGAGGTGAGCTTTCAAAGTCAACTCATGAGCACAAGGTGAGCACAGGGCGAGGGGGGCGTGGGGATGACAGTGGAGGCGGGGGAGCCAAAGGTGTGGGCGGTGAAGCGAGCCAAGATTCGCACCAACGACTTCCATTAAGAGGTGAGCTTTCAATGTCAACTCATAAGCACAAGGGGATCACAGGGCGAGGGGGGCGTGGGGATTACTGGAGAGGCGGGGGAGCCGAAAGTGTGGGCCGTGAAGCGCGCCAAGATACGCACCAACGACTTCCACAAGGAGGTGAGCTTTTAAAGTCAACTCATAAGCACAAGGGGAGTACAGGGCGAGGGGGGCGTGGGGATGACAGTGGAGGCGGGGGAGCCAAAGGTGTGGGCGGTGAAGCGAGCCAAGATTCGCACCAACGACTTCCACAAAGAGGTGAGACTGTGACCAGGTGTGGGCTGTATAGCAAGCCAATCAACGACTATCACTAAGAGGTGCTTGCATGCTTGCAGCAAGCACCATTCTCCCCTGCTGCGTCTTCTAGGGCACGGACAGCGATATGAGAGAACTGGTCCCTGACCCATTTTTGAGGCGCCTCAAAAATTGTCTTCTAGGGCCATGCCCTTTTTGACATCTAGGGCCATGCCCATTTTTGACAGCGATATGAGAGAACTGGTCCCTGACCCACCCTCCTGCTATGCCCCACCTTCCCTTCCCTCAGGTCCAGCTGATGGCCAGCAAGCACCGCCCACACCTGGTGCGCCTTCTGGGGTACTTTTTTGGAGGTGAAAATGCATTTTACAATGCTGAAAACACCATCCTCGGTCGTAACCGGGCCTCCTGGGGCGCTGCGTTACAAACAACTGATGCCAAGACGTGCCAGCAGGAACAAGCTGTCGTGACAGCCTGGTTCAATACTCACATTCCGCCTTCCCTTTTTCCCCACCTCCCCTGCTTGCACTCCCAGGTCCAGCTGATGGCCAGCAAGCACCACCCGCACCTGGTGCGCCTGCTGGGGTACTGTGAAACGACTGACGCCAAGACACACGAGCAGGAGCAGATCATCATCTACGAGTTCATGGCAAATGGCGACCTGGAGCGCGTATTGAACAGTGAGTACTCGTTTCATTGTTTTAGATATACAAGCGATGTATGTATATAGAGTGAAGCTAAATATGTAGCATACTTATATAAAGCATGTGCATATCCACGTTCATATATCCTATACTATTCTCTATATGCATATGTACACATATTTGCAGTGCATACCCTCAACACTACCTCCTTCCCCCAATCCCCAGACCTCTCCTGGGGGCTCATGGCCTGTGGCTCAGTGCCTTTATTGGCACTGATGAAGGCTCGCTAGGGTATGCCCTGCGGCCGAAACATGTTTGTCACCTGTTTAATTGGTTGTTAAGGGAAGAGCTCCGACTACTCCAAACTCGCGTTTACATAAGCATCGTTTTCAACTGTTTTTTCCTACTTGCTAACCCGTCTCCTGACGCCGCGCTCACTGGAAGATGTCCAAGGATTGGCCTGTAGCAGCGGCTGGAGATGATGATCGGAGCAGCAAGGGGTCTGGAGTACCTGCACAGCTAAACTGTGTCATTTCTGGCTTACTGACCTGCTTTTGAGTCGACTAAAGCTGTCGTTCTGGCTTACACACCTGCTCCCCTCCTCTCTCCTCGCCTGTTCTCCCATTGTGCAGACCTCTCGACGAGGCCCATCAGCCTGCAGCAGCGGCTGGAGATGATGATCGGAGCAGCCAGGGGCCTGGAGTACCTGCACAGCTTCTCCATGGTGCATCGGGACGTGAAGCCGGCGAATATACTGCTGGATGGCAACTGGAAGGTGTGTGTTTCATTCAGAATGGGGACTTGATAAAAAGCCGGGGGCTTTGATGCATGGAGGATTGGAGGCTCAGATGCCTGGAGTACCTGCACAGCTTCTCCATGCTGCATCGTGATGTGAAGCCGGCAAATATCCTGCTGGACGGTAACTGGAAGGTGCGTGGTGTAATATGGAACAGGTTGATGTGACGGCGTGCAAACACATGGAGCTTGGAGTGCTGGAGGCTCCTGGAGGCTTGGAGTACCTGCACAGCTTCTCCATGGTGCATCGTGATGTGAAGCTTGCTCCTGGATGGCAACAGGCAGGTGTGTCTTGACGCTTGTTTGTCTGCCCATTCTTCCTACAGGCCAAGGTAGCTGACTTCGGGCTGACAAAGATGGGCGAGGGCAACACATACAACCCGCAGGAATAACGACTACTGACTCTTTTTGCCTCCTTATCTTGCATGTTTCCATAACCCTCCACAGGCCAAGATTGCTGACTTCGGGCTGACAAAGATGGGCGAGGGCAATGCCTACAACCCGCAGGATTCAACTCGAGTGCTCGGCACCCCGGGATACGTGGACCCTGTGTATGGGCGCACGCGCAAGGCCACCCCTGCCAACGATGTCTTCAGCTTTGGCATTGTGATGCTTGAGCTCCTGACGGGCCGCAGAGCCATCATGGTGCTCTCTGGCAATGACGACCCGATCAACATAAGCAAATGGGTACGTGGAAACTGCTACAGCCGTAATTGTTACTGCTGCTCGTGCTATGGCTGCCCATAACCCCTTACACTACATCCTGTCAAAACTTTCAAAACCTCTAGCTTTTAGTCTTATTCATTGCGTTGGCTCTTGCTTGGTTCATTACAGGCTGCCCCGTTAGTGGAGCAAGGCAATGTGGCTGCCTTCAAGGATCCGAATCTCGATGCTCCTGATGACGTCGTTCTGCGCCTCGCACTCCTTGCTGTGAAATGCACTGCCATGCCGGCCGTGTCCCGGCCTCGAATGGTGAAGATAGTTGCGGATCTTGAAGGGATCAAGGAGGAGCTGTTTAAGAACGGGACTATGCTGATGGAAAACGAGCATGAAGGACATGTGCAGTCCTTGACTCAAGTCCTCTCACAGGTGGAGGTGATTGTGAGTGCAAATGCCAAATCTAGTGACGAGTCTACTTGAGGAGCCAGTGGTGATCGCCAACCTTCAGTTATTACTCATGCTAATGCTACAATGGTACTTGTTGCCATTTATCTGTTGAAGTGGGGATATTATGCTGGGTTGCAGACCTCGTTTGCCCGTCATGCGGTTTTGAGTTCTTCCAAAAAGGTATCATATTTCTGCTGTGGGGTCATAGGAGCGATTAATGTAAATCTGTCTAGAGATTGTAGCTTCATCTCACTGGTAACACTTGGGGGACGATGGATCTTGACCGTAAAACTTGACCTCCTTTCCTGCATTCGGTGGAGATGAGACCAGCAGTTGGCTTATCCGATCACGTGGCCAGTCCTTCGTGGAAGGAAGCAAAACCACGTGGTCCAGGCGACTTGACTCTGTGAACTGGGAGGAGGATAATCCCTAAGGGCGGCGCCGGTGCGACCTGCTTTCGGCCAAGTGACTAGGTTTCCTGCTGCCGCGGACTGCCAGGCGCAGCTGAGGCAGCAGGGGAAGGTTGCGCGCTGATCGACAGAGAAATTAACCAAATTTCTCCGCTAATTGCGTTTTCTCAGCCAATGAGAAATATCATCTTGGATGCAATGGCCGTGGAGATGTGAGGTGCTGACCTGGATTTTGATGTGAGGGGTGATCCAATTCCACTCAGAATCACAAATTCCATTTGCCTGCGTGGACCGTCGTGACAAGATGAATGCGGTCCGAAATTCCGTTGCGCACCACATCGCACAAGCACCTCGCCACATGTGCGAAACTTGGCAAACCGCGCAATTTCTCCCCGATTTCGCAACTTGTGAAGATTCCCTGGGCTTCCCAACCACAAGCCACAAGTTACCTGAGAACGAACAGCGACGAAGAAGGCTGAGCAGCCTCGCCACCAATAACAGTGGCTTCTGCCAGTTCGCAAGCAGACTGCTCCTCGCAATTTTCCCCTCCTCTCTCTCACCCCAAACCTATCCAGCCCAGCGCAATTCTCAAAATTCCGTATCACCTAAGCCAACTCAATGTCGACATCAAAAGGTCTATAAATTTACCTCTGCTTTTCCTCACATTTCTCACTAACCTGTTTGCTCCCTTCAGCATCCACCCCTACCGAGCGCTTGTCAAGGCAGTTGTTTCCGTGGCGGCACGGAATTTCCTACTCGCCCTCGTTCCTCGTTTGCTCTCGCGTCCTGCGACAGCAACGCTCGGCCTGCGCCGCTCAACCGCTCGCTAGCCTGTTCTCCCGGTTGAAAACTTGACGACAACCGTCGAGCGAGCCAGACAACCGTCAAGATGTGCGGAATTCTCGCGGTTCTTGGAGCTGCTGATGCGTCGGCTCGCACCCGAGCGAAGGTCCTCGAGTGCACTGCCAGGTAAGCCGATGTGCGGTTACAATGTGCAGTCTATGTCGATTCGATTACTTGTCACGGAGCCGAGGCTCCAAGATCGGCTCTTCATTGTTTTTTCAAGAGGATTGGCGAGTTGATTCCGTTGCGAGTCGCACTACGATGACCAGTTCAGAGAAGCCGATGGCAATCAGCCCTCGTTGCCAATGCGCTCAATTGCACGTCGTGAAGTGTCCCTGTGCTCAGCAAATCTTGCCGCGTTGATCCAAATAAAAAGTTGGCGTGCCATTCACTCATTCGTGCCACGTGTCACCCGCAGGCTGCGCCACCGCGGACCCGACTGGAGCGGCGTGCACACGTTCGGCAACAACTTTCTCGCGCACGAACGGCTGGCCGTCATCGACCCGGCCTCCGGCCACCAGCCGTTACGCAACGAGGACGGCAGTATCGTGGTGGCCGTCAACGGCGAGATCTACAACTACCGGCAGCTAAGGGAGGAGCTCAAGGACCGCCATGCCTTCAACACCGGTAGCGACTGCGAAGTCATCGCCCACCTCGTACGTGCAATTGCGAAGTTATCATCCTGGAGCGGCTTTCCTTTGATCGCTTTGCTTGATTGCAATTCGAGTCCTTAGCTCCTCCGAAATTTCTATCCGTCCGCCAAATAAGCATGCCTCGTTTCACTACTACTAACGCCTGTTTCCTGTATACCGATTATCATGTACCCTCACGCCTGCAGTACGAGGACATGGGCGAAGCAGCCGTGGAGAAGCTCGACGGGATCTTCGCGTTCGTGCTGCTCAACACGCGGGACGGCTCGTACATGGCGGCGCGCGACCCCATCGGCGTGTGTCCGCTCTACATCGGGTGGGGCCGCGACGGCTCCATGTGGTTCGCGTCGGAGATGAAGGCTCTTAAAGACGACTGCGAGCGCTTCGAGACGTTTCCACCGGGCCACCTCTACTCTAGCAAAGACCGTAAGTTCCCTGCTTACTTGCTTTCCTGACTCCTGCCTTTGGATGGATGCGGCTCACTTCACGGCGCGACGGCTCCATCGGGTGGGCGATTTTTTAGAATCCTCAAAAATCACTTCACGGCGCGACGGCTCCATGTGGTTCGCGTTATCTCGGAGATGAAAGCGCCCTAAGGCGACTGCGAGCGCTTCGAGACCTTCCCGCCGGGAAACGTGTGTTCCAGCAAAGACCGTGAGTTGCGCACCCTCGGTTCCCAGTGTAATGACTCGGAGTCGATTTTTGATTCGATTCAAAAATCGACTCATTACACGCGTTGTCCAGCAAAGACCGTGAGTTGCGCGCCCATTTTGTTTCCCACTCGCATTGCCGACACAACCTGGCGTGGTGCGACGAGTCTATTTTTGAGGCGCCGATAACTTGGACGCCTCAAAAATAGACGACTCATGCATTTGGAGCTGACATAACCTGGCGTGGTGCGACGAGCACATCCCATCCGTCTGCTACCTTCCCTTGCCTTCTCTTGCCTCCCCCTATTCTCCCATTTCCCGCTGCAGATTCCCTCAAGCGCTGGTACAACCCGGCGTGGTACGACGAGCACATCCCCTCAGCGTCCTACGACCCGCTTGCACTCAGAGCGGCATTCGAGATGGCCGTGGTGAAGCGCCTCATGAATGACGTGCCCTTCGGCGTGCTCCCTCCCCTTCCCTGGCCCCACCATTCTCCCACTTCCCCCCCCCAGACACTCTGCGCCGCTGGTACAACCCGGCATGGTACGACGAGCGCATCCCCTCGGCGCCCTACGACCCGCTCGTCCTGCGCGCCGCATTCGAAAAGGCCGTGGTCAAGCGCCTCATGACGGACGTGCCGTTCGGCGTGCTTCTATCGGGGGGGCTTGACTCGTCGCTGGTGGCGGCCGTGGCGCAGCGGCACCTGTCGTCTACGGAAGCGGGCAAGCAGTGGGGGCCGCAGCTTCACTCCTACTGCATCGGGCTCGAGGTGAGATCTCATTTCCACCCTACTCCCAGCAGTGCTACTACTAGTGCATCAGTGCTTCTAACGGGGGCCCACAGCTTCATTCGGACATAGACACCATTTCCGGAGTCATCTACGACGTCATCGCCATCCACGCGCGCTTCATGCACTTTCCATGCACTTTCCATGCACTCTATCCCTCCCTCCCCCCCTCTCTTTTCCTCTTCCGACACCCTTTTTTCATTCTACTTTTGTCAGGGCGCCCCTGACCTGCGGGCAGCCAGGGAAGTGGCGGACTACATCGGCACGAACCACCACGAGCTGCACTTCACCGTGCAAGAGGGCATCGACGCCATCTCTGAAGTGGTCTACCACACCGAGACGTACGACGTCACTACCATTCGCGCCAGCACGCCCATGTTTCTCCTCAGCCGGAAGATTAAAGCCCTGGGAGTGAAGATGGTGCTATCTGGGGAAGGCAGCGACGAGGTGTTTGGGGGGTACCTGTACTTCCACAAGGCGCCCAGCAAGGAAGAGTTCCACGTGGAGACGTGTCATAAGGTATATAAGGGAAGGGAGAAGAGTTTGGGAGGTCATCTTGGTGATGAGATGAAAATGCAGAGTGCATCAGCTAGGCAAGTTTTGAGGCGCCTCAAAACGTGTCATAAGGTGTATAAGGGAAGGGAGAAGAGTTTGGGAGGTCATCTGGTGATGAGATGAGAATGCAGAGTGCATCAGCTAGGCAGCAGCCCCTGCAGATTCCACAACCCGTGCAATGCCTTTCCAGTGAGTTGTTTTTTTAGAATTCACAAAAATCACTGCCTTACCAGTTTTCTGACAACTCCTACATTTCTAACCAACCCCTCTCCCTCACTTGCGATATCCTTCTCCTGCCTTACCTCCCCTCCATACTCGTTATAATCAGCTCAGTGCACACCTCCCTTGTTCATACCCTCTTCCCAATCAGCTAAAGGCTCTCCACATGTACGACTGCCTGCGCGCCAACAAGGCCACGTCAGCGTGGGGATTGGAGGCGCGGGTGCCCTTCTTGGACAAGGAATTTCTGGATGTGGCGATGGGCATCGATCCTCACTATAAGATGATTCGTAAAGAGGACGGGCGCATTGAGAAGTGGGTCATCCGGCGAGCTTTCGATGATGTAGAGAAGCCTTACCTACCCAAGGTATGTTCTCCTATTAATGCCGATTAATGTTGTATGTGCTCTTTTAGAACCCTCAAAAATCACCTACAGCTTTCGAGGATGCTGAGAAGCCTTACCTACCCAAAATGTATTTCTGCGGTAGACTAACCTACACAATTCTAAAATCATCAGCTTTTTTTCTTTCTTTCTTTCTTTCTTTCTTTCTTTTCTCTACCGCCAGAAGGAGCAGTTCGGCGACCGGGTGGGGTGCAGCTGGATCGACCGGCTCATCTCTTCTCCCCTTCCGTACACCCATGCCTCTCCCCCTCCCCTCCATACCTGTTACCAGCACATTCTTTACCGTCAGAAGGAGCAGTTCAGCGACGGCGTGGGTTACAGCTGGATCGACGGGCTCAAGGCACATGCTGAGCGGATGGTGTCGGACCAGATGATGGCCAATGCGCCCCACCTGTTCACACACAACACGCCCCAGACCAAGGAAGCGCTCTTCTACCGGCTCATCTTTGAGAAGCATTTCCCCCAGGTAAGGGCCTGTTAGTCCTCGTGTCACTTCACTTGTCCCCCCCCCCCCCCCCACCTCGGACCGAATGATGGTCATCAGAGGCGCATGCGGAGCGGATGGTGTCGGACCAAGTGATGGCCAACGCGCCGCACCTCTTCACGCACAACACCCCCAAGACCAAGGAAGCCCTCTTCTGCCGGCTTATCTTTGAGAAGCACTTTCCTCAGGTGAGACTCTCAATTCGTGGGCCAGTTTCTCCCTGAGATATGCCGGCTGCTGCTGTGTGTAAGCTGCTGCTGGCCAGGTGAGGGTCTGTTAGTCCTCGTGTCACTTCTCGTGACACTCCCTCCCCCTTCACCTCAGACCAAATGACGGCCATCAGAGGCGCATGCGGAGCGGATGGTGTGGGATCTCAAGTGATGGCCAACGCGCCCCACAACGTGCCTAAGACCAAAGTAGCCATGTTCTAATTTTTCTCTTCTAATTTTCCTATGGCGACAACTTGTCAATTCTAGGGAGGCTCTCTCCTCTCTTCCTTTTCCCACTCCCATCTGTGCTACAGCTGTCTGCTCGTTTGACTGTGCCTGGCGGTCCCAGCATCGCCTGTAGCACGGCAGCGGCTGTAGCATGGGACGCAGCCTGGCAGGGGAATCTGGACCCCTCTGGCCGCGCTGCTCTGGGCGTGCACTCAGCAGCTTATGAGGAAACCACCGGTGGTAACCAGACAGGTGGTAACCAGATGGGTGGTAACCGTGTTACCACGTGTGTGGAGCAAGCGAGTGTGGTGGTGGGGAGCGGGAGTGCGGGGAAGAGGAGTCAGGGGGAGGAGGGGCAGCAACCGGAGTCGCCTCCTAAGAAGAAGAAGACCGACCTGGTTATGCCGTGTCTGGCTGTAGCATAGGCTGTAGCCAAAGGCACTTTCTGTATGTAGCCGAAAAGAGACTGGGGGAAAAGGTCTCGAGGTATTATTTTACACATTCCATCCTGTGGGCTGGAATGCTCAGTTTTGCAGCTTTGCTTGGGGTTGGTTTCTAATGTTATCGTTGTGTGCAATGTGTTCCAAATAAAGGAATGTCTGCTTGCACCAATGAGGTATAATTGCTGGCTGGAAAAGAGAGCCCAAGCACCACACGGATTATCAGTAGGCACTTCTGTACAGTAACTTTCAATGGACAAGCCGCCGCCGACGGGGCTTCGACGCCCGTCTCACCCCGTCGCGCCGCCCCGGGCAAGAAAAAACAACAAACCCCTAGGGGCCCCGGCACGCGACTCGGGGTGGCATCAACCCTAATCTCGCAGCAGGAATCCGCGAGTTTAGGGTTGATGCCACCCCGAGTCGCGTGCCGGGGCCCCTAGGGGTCTATTGTTTCTGCCCCTGGGCAGAGCGTTTCCTGGGCGGAGTCGTTTGTCCGTTGAGATATATCAACCAATTACATCGGAACTTATTATGCCTGCAGTTGCTGTTTGATCTAAAGCGAGGGGGAAATCTGTTTGATGTCAACCAAAGAACGCAAGCGTTGACCAGGGAAATCTGTTAGCTGCACTAGCATTTTACCCATGAAATAATGGAGTATTAGAGAGAACGAACCCCTAACCATCAATCTGTAACATCTGCAACCCGAGAAGCAACACGTCCGGAAGGTTGACACTAATGTGAAACAACGCACCAGAGAGATACGGGAACTCCCCTTCGCCATAGTCACAACCACCACCACCGCTCTCCTTAGTATCACTTCTTGAAAACCCAGCTTGCTGCAATCCCCCTCTCGATCGATCTGCTGGAGATGTAACACCAGTTACGACCTGCCCCGGTTCCACCTTCCCAGATCCTGCCACCTCCACAGCCCTCAGCTCACCCACCAGAAATTCCTTCAGGGCTGCCCGAGAAGCTGCCCAGTTGCGGGAAAAAGTCGGCATGCCCAGAAACTGCAGGGCGAGCGGGGCAGCGAGCTCGTACTGTCTCGCTGCTGTGAGGGACGCGACAAAATGGGGGAAGGCTGTACGGTAGAGAGGAGGAGGAAGCGTGCTGCTGTTGAGTGTGCTGCTCCCAGCAGCACTCACAACTGCTGCTTCTGCATGGTCTCTCTTGCTGTTCCCCTCACCCCTGCTCCTGTCACCAGACCTCCTGCTGTTATACTCGTTATTGTCATCATCCTCTTCGTTACTGTCACCGTCCCCGTCCCCACCAGGCAAAGGTGCAAGGGCGCTGATATGAGAAAGCAGCGAGCCCAGCATGCCTTTCCTCTGCCCCCCCTGCTGCTCACTCCCCTTCTGCAACCCGGCAGCACCACTACCACTACCACCACCACCGCCCCACGCACCGAAATCTTCCTCCTCCTCATCCTCCTCCCACTCCCTCTCCCCCATCCGTCTTCCAAGCCTCGTTTCTTTCTCCCTCTCCTCACTCCCTCTCACTCCCTTCTTCCCCTCCACCTCCCCTCTCTCCACCTCCCCTCTATCCACCTCCCCCCTCTCCCCTCCTTCTCTCTCCCCTCTTCTCTCCTGCTGCAGCTTGACAGCCAGAGGGGGGATAATACAAGCCATGGCTCCCAGCAGCGGCCGAACCACCGCCGAATGAGCATCCGCCATCTGTCTCACGATGTCAGCCGCCAGCAGCAGTGTCAGAGCCCCATAATCCAAGGGCGGGCTGTGCTCCTTTCCTCCCCTCCCTCTTTGCCCTCCCTTCCTTCGACGGGTTCCCACCCGCCCCCCATCATCATCACTATAATCCTCATCATAGAACGAATCTTCCTCATCACCATATCCCTCCTCTTCCTCATCCTCTTCCTCCTCCTCCTCATCTCCCCCCCACCCTTCGCCCCACCCTCCTCTGGCTCTCCCCTTACCGGCAGCATCAGCCTCAGCAGCAGCAGCCACTTTAAGCAGCTGCATTGATTGCAGCCAAATCTGGGGGTACGGAAGCAGAAGGGCTATTTTCAGCATGAACAACGCAGCTCTAGAGGCCGCACTCGGACCTACCTCCTCCCCTCCCCCACCACCACCCTTGCTGTTGCTGCTGCCATCTCTCCTGCAAGTCCTGGTACTGCTGCTACTGCTGCTACTCCCAGCAGCAGCGGTGTCTGATAGGAGCTGCTCTGCTTCGTCTCGAGACAGCAGCATTCTGCCAGCGGCTCGCTTCCCAGACGGAAGAAAGGCGGCAGCGTCAAGAGCAGCCAGGAGGAGTGACGGCAGGAGAAGGTCCGCCCGTGCTGCTGCTACACCCGCCTCTACATGATTGCCACTGCTGCTGCTGTGATCGCCAGCTTGTGACACTGAGAGAGTGCAGCGACGGAGTGGGAGGAACCAGCAATCATGCAGCGGATGCAGCCCCGCAGCAGCTGCGGCAGCAGCAGCAGAAGAGGAGGAGGGCCCACTAGCAGCAGCAGTGCCTGGAGTGGCCGTGGGATGGCACCATTTAGGAGCAAGAAGTGGGTCCCAGAGGGCGAGAAGAGCCAAGAGGGACAGCTGACGATGCTGCTGCTGATGCTGAGTCTGAGTATGCAATGCGCCTGTCCCCCTCCCCCCCTGCCCCCTGTTATTTCCCCCCCTCTCCCCTGCTCCCCTCTCCCCTGCTCCCCTCTCGTCTGCTCCCCTCTCCCCTGCTCCCCTCTCCCCTGCTCCCCTCTCCCCTGCCCCCACGTCAAGCATGAAGAAAGCTCGCTTGAAAGACTCGACAGCCGAGCCAATGCTCCCGAAGCTACCGTCCGCTGCTGCGTCATCCAACAGCGGCGCCACGTCGGCAACCGCTCCCGGCCAATCAGACTGCACGATTGCCCGTGACCGCAGGGCAGTCCATCGCCACCTGTCTATGGCAAGGCCTCCCGCACTGTTCTCTTCCTCTCCCCCCTCCTCCTCTCCCCCCTCTTCCAGCTCCCACACTCCCCAGCACCCATCCACACCCCTCGCCATCCCCCCCAGCCCTACAGCATCTATGAAATACCCTCTCTCTGAGAGCCACGTGGCAGGTGCTGATAGGTCAGACGAAACTGGAGCCACAGCCCTCATTGCATCCAGCACCACCCCTCTAGGTGCTGCACTAAGTGTGGCACTTAGCAGGTGGGAACCTGCACCCTCCCCTTGCTTGCTTCCCAAGCGGACCAGCTGCCTCCAAACAACACTCCTAACAGCAGCTAAAAGAAGCGCAAAATGCTCCCGAGTGCTCTCCTCCTCCTCATCCTCCCCAGTAAAACCTTCCCCAGTATCTCCCTCATCCTCTAGAGAACCCAACCCCCACCCGTTCTCCTCCTCCTCCCTCTCACCTGCCTCGCTTGGTTCTCCCTCTCTCAGTACCTGCCATGCGTCCCCCACCCTTGGTTCTACCAGCGAGAGAATCACTTTTATGACTGCCTGAGCAAGCCTGTCTGGATGATGCGCCCCCCTCTCCCCCTCTTGCCCCTTCCCACACGTGATCTCTTTTAAGACTGACAAGTAAAGCCCAGAAATGCTGATTTCAGGGGGGAAAGCACCTGGAGCAGCAGTGGCAGCTTCAGCATCAGCAGCAGCAGAAGCAGCAGCAGCAGCAGCAGGGGGAGCCAGCGGTTGAGGCTGTGGGGAGGAGACTGGGGCTTCGTCTCCAGAAGCACCTGCAGCAAAGTCCATAGTCATCTGCCCGCCCTCCCCAGATGTAACTGCAACAGACAGGGCACCTGAAACGGCACCTGAAAAATCACCTGAACGACCACCTGGAACCGGGGATAAGACAGCGCCTGCTGCCAGGTCTGGGAGTGATTCCACCGAGCCATGCATCCAGCCAGGGACCGAACCTGTTCCCGAGCCTGCTTGTGAACCAGAAGCAGCAGGTGACATGCCCCCCTGCTTCCGTGCCTGTGCTTCCGATTCGGCAGGAGCTACAGCCGGAGCTGTCGAACCTCTGGTTCGGACCGCCCCGAGCTTGCCAGCAGGTTTGGAGACTACCAGAGGTTTCTTCTTGGAAGCTGCTGCCTTACCAGTGCCAGCAGCAGGAGCAGCAGCAGCAGAACGAGGAGCAGAGGAAACCAAGCCCATAGAAGCAAACAAATCCATCGGATCCTCCTCCACCTTCCCTCCTTCCTCCTCCTCTTCCCTTTCATCTACACGTTTCCCATCCCTAATCTTACCACCCTTACCCGCCCTGCCTCCCACTCCCTTCGCACCTCTCCCCCGCCTGCCCTCAGCCCTGCTGACGTCACTCATGGCCAACTCCTCCTGTTCGCCGCCCGTGCTCCCGGTCTCACTGCCAGCATCACCAGGAAGCTTCCTGGAACCAGCACCAGACGCTGCTGCCACTCCTCTCCCAGCTTTCCTACCTGCTCCACTCACCCCCCCATTCGCTGCTGCTGTAAGCCGGGCTCGGCTTTTTCGACCAGTGGGGAGCCGCCAGCTGTCGCGGCCGTGTGTGGCCTGTGCTACAGTGACTAGAGCGAGCAAGGGGCAGCCTAAAAGCACCATCTGGCGCATTAAAATATGGGGTAAGGAGCAAGCAGCAGAGGTTGAATTCTGAGGCCCCCCCTTTGGATTCAGCAGCGAATCAGAGAGGAACCGCAGCAGCAGCACGCCTTGCTGACGTGTCACGACCCCATTGGTCAACAGCTTCTGAACGCACCTCCCACACTCAACCACACTCTCCTCCCTCTCCTCCCTCTCCTCTCTCTCCTCCTCTTCCTTCTCCTCCGTTCTCCCACCACCACACCCCATCCAATCGCCCACAACATCAAGCCACAGCTCTACACCCCTCTTAACCGCTCCTCCATCCCTCCCACCTCTCACCCTCCCCTCCCTCCCTCCCTTACCACCGCTAATAGCACCACCTCTTCCAGAATCATTTCCATTTCTGTCACAATCGCTCAAGGCACTCTGCAGAATGAGCCGCTCGCATCCCTGCAGCAGCAGGGCGGTAAACTCCCTCCGCTTGCCCTCCAAAAGCAGAGGCAAGAACCCAGACATGGCTACCCGAGCAGACTGGAGCCCCTCTAGGCTTAGTCCCTCCTTCATGCCGCCGGCACTGTTTTTCTCTCCCAGCACGCCAGCCTGTCGCAACTGGCTCTTAGCAAAGAGCCACAGCAGGTGCCCCTGGTCAAAGTGGCCTTGTATGGCTGGGTCTTCTAAACCTCCTGCCTCTGCCGGCCCTGCTGCATTAGGTGATGCTGCTGAAGCGGCAGTGAGAGTCGCGATGACATCAGCAGCAGCAAGCACTGAAGACCCGTCAAAGCACCGCTCTACCTCCCTCTCAACCGCTCCCTCCACCTCCTTAGCAACTTCACCATCCCCTCCTGCCACTGCCGCTGCTGCAGCTGCACAGCCAGAACTAGCAACGCCCCCACTTTCTCCCCCTCCAGATACCCCTGCACCAGAAACAGCCGCCCCCAGAAGGACCCACCCATTCAAGGGGGGCTTAAGCGCCCCTGCCTTCTCAATCTGGTTTGCCAAGAGAGAGAGTCTGAGAGCGAGGGAGGAGGCACTCTGTGCTGATGATAGGAAGGTGTTGAGTGCGGTGACAGGGGAGGGAGGGAGAGGGAGTGCGAGAGGGCGGGAGAGAGGAGGGGAGGGGATGAGGGAGGAGGAGGAAGGGGGAGAAGGGGAGAGGGTGGCGTGGAGGCAGTGGGAGAGGAGGCGAAGGAGGTAGGGAGTGAGGATGGGGAGTGTGGGGGGGCATGTCTGTGTGTGTAGTTTTGGCTGTATTTGAGTGAGAAGGCGGGGAAGCACGGAGGACCAGAGGGAGGAGAAGGCTGCAGTGGGGCGAGTACAGATGTCGGATTTGTGTGCCTCCACCTCAGCAATGATATCTTGCTCGGGCCAATCAGAGAGCAGCACGGAGCGGACATAGGTCAGGTGAACCTGCACCACATGGGACAAAATGGAGAATAGGCAGCATATCCTTTAACGGACGAATTTACAGAAAAAAACTTGCGACGGACATATTTTTTGCAAAAAAACTTCAATTATGTGGTGAGAAGAAAGAAATTATGTCACCAATCCTCACCTGCCAGCTGTCAACATGGTAGAGCTCAGCCAATGAGAGGGCAGAAGCAAGGGCCTGCGGCATCGGGCCGAGTGAATCAGAATTGGCCACAGCAGCATTATTGGAAGCCCTGGGAGCACTACTGGTGCTGCCGGTGTTGCTGGCCGTGTTGGCAGTGTCGACCAATGAGGCGATAGCGGCCTCCATGTACGCCACGTCACGCGCCACGAAGCGTGCCACGTCAGCGTGGGGCAGCAGCGCGCTCAGCGCCCGCGTGTCCTCCACCACTCGCAGGCGCCCCTGCATTGTCAGCGCCACCTCACACCACCGCTTGCACAGCTGGCGGGCTCGGGCTGCGAAGGAAAGTGCAGGCAGGGGAAGGGGGGAGAGGGCGGGCGGGGGGTGGGGGGATAGGACACGAAATGCAGTGGGGGGATGGAACACAAAATGCGGTGGGGGATAGAACCTGAGCTCTGTGCTACTCACCTGAGCTCTGTTGCGACTCCCCTGAGCTCTGTTGCTGCTCACCTGAGCTCAGTGCTACCCACATTAGCTCTGTTGCTACCCACCTGATATCTATCGCTACCCACCTGAGATCTGTTGCTACCCACCTGAGATCTGTTGCTACCCACCTGAGATCTGTTGCTACCCACATGCGCTCTATTGCACCAGAAGACTCACCAGAGGTTTTCACTGCTGGCCTGGACCCCAGCGCCCCTGTCTCCCCCAGCTGCTCCTCCTTCCTGGAAGCTTCCCCTGCCACACCAGCAAGCAGCACTGGGGGCAGCAGCAGCAGCGAGCCGACAAAGGCCGCCTCGTTGGCCTGCAGGGGGAGATGGGAGAAAGCATGGCAAGCAAGGAAACAGAAGCAAGAGGGCCAACCTTTGAGGTGCCTCAATAGGTATTACGCGTTGTTGGTCTGCAAGGTACAAACAAGTGACTTTTGAGTCGACTCAAGAGACCTCGGAAAAGGGAGAGATGGAGAGATATGGCACCTGGAGTGAACTTGCAACGCGGGGCATAGCCACGACGAACCCCTAGAATGCCCTCCTGGTATCTAGGGCATACCAGCCAGCCTGCAATGCCCTGGTCCTACCTGAGTGTAATGAGTCGATTTTTGAGTCGACTCAAAAGCCTGCAATGCCCTGACTTTTGAGTCGACTCAAAAGACACCTCAAACCAGCCTGCCTGCAATGCCCTGGTCCTACCTGAGAAGCCAGCAGGAAGAGCGTGGCATGGAGGCTTGAGAACTGCAGCAGCAGCAACACGAATCGCCGCTTCGCATCCGCCCCCTCCCGCTTCGCCATCTCTGCGTCTATCACACCCGCTGCTCTCACTGCGTCCCCAGCCTGTAACAAGAACGCCATCGCCAGCGAATCGCACGCTGCCACCTCAGCAGCTGCAACAGCGGCGGTAGGGTTGGCCTCCCTCCCCTCTCCTGCCCCTGCCCCTGCCCCTGCTACCCCTAATGCTCCGCCCCCTCCTTCTCCTGCTGCTGCTGCTGCTGCTCCCCCTCCTCTTGCTAATGCTGGTCCTCCTACCCCTGCTGCAGTCCCCCCTAACCCTGCTGATGCAGCAGCAGCAGAGACTATGTCTCCCGCGGTTAACGCGCTCCGGGCTGCTTCGATCAGGAGCTTATCGGAAGGTGACACCTGGCACGATGCGAGCACGTGGAGAATCAGCACCACGATCTGCTCAACTATCGGATCAGCAGCCGCTGCTGCTGCCGCCACTGCTGATGCCCCTCCTGCTGCCCCTCCTGCACCTGCTGCTGCTGTTGCGGCTCCTGTTCTAGCAGCAGCAGACGACGAAGCAGCTGCCGCTGCGGCAGCAGCAGCGGCGCGGCGGGTTTTTACCTGGAGCATCCACGGCAGGTGAAGGCATGCGAACGGCAGCAGCAGGCGAGGCACCTCCTCCCACTGCCTGATCCCCCACGCCTCCCCATCACTAGACACCAGCGCCAGTGCCCTCCGCCCCACATCCCTCCCTATCGCCCCTCGCCCCCCACCCAAACTAGCCAGCTTTCTCCCAACACCAATACCACAACTCCCACCCTTCCCCCTGCTGCCACTTCCACCAGCTGCAACGGCTGTAGCAGCTTCGGGAATTACCAGCACTTCTGTACCTTCCCACTTGCCCGAGGCTCGTCCTGCAGCTAGGTCCGGGAGAAGAGCCTCCTGCTCCCTCAGGCCCGGGACTACCAAGCCTGTCGCCGCACCTAGCGCCACGCACCGTTCCGTGGCATCCAAGCCTTGCCACGAGGCTAGGAGGTCTGGGAGGGAAGCCTCGTCGCAGTGGGCCAGAGCAAACCCTAGAAACTCCCTCCGGATCGGCATGCTGATGTCATCGGAGCCGTCGTCCACGTCAGCATCTGCAGCAGCGTCCACGTCAGCAGTGCTTGCTGCGCTGCTGGCGGAATCATCCATGCTGACATCAGCAGAAAGATCAGTGGCAGACGCTGCTGCTCCTCCTATCATGGCGCTAAGACTAGTACCACTGCTACTCCCACTCATACTGCTGCCACTACTGCTCAACCCATCTTCACTCCTGTCTATCCTCTCCAACACCTGCCCACCTTTCCGCCTCAAGCCATCCCCAGCTCCCAAACCCCCCCCCCTTTTCCCTTCTCCCAAACCCAACTCTACAGCTGACCTGGACAGCTTACCCTGCTGCAACCGCCCCTGCCCCCCACGCTCCAGCCTCCCCCCTTGCCTCCCCAAACCCCCCACCCCCATTCCCCTGCTCCCTATGCCCCCCCTCCCCCCCCTACTAGCAGGTCCCCTAGCCAAAGCCGCACATAGATCCCAAATCCCTGCATAATTCCGACCCATAAGCTCCTGAACCACCAGTCTGGCCGTCCTCAGATCCGCCCTCGCTGCTGCCGCCCTAGCCACAGCTTCCAGCACCCTCCCTTCATCCGCTGCTGACGTCAGCCCTAATTTCCAAGCAAGGGTGAGGATCTCAGGCGCACCTGTGCTTGCCAAATCAATGGAAAAGACTGGGGTGAACGGTGAGGAGGAGGAGAAGGAGGAGGAGGAGGTGACGGAGGGGATGGAGGGGAAGGGGGAGAGGTTGAGCACTTGGTGTATGATATCGAGGCGGTCGCGGGTTTGGCGCAGCTGCAGTGGCAGCAGGTGCAGGTGGCAGGCGGGGAGGTCCACCACGAGGGCTGAGAAGAGGCGGCGCTCGGCTGCTGCTGCTGGGTTGCGCGGGAGAATGTCCAGACAGGCGAACGCGCTGTGAATCTGAGGGAGAGGGAAAAGCAGGGGGTGGGAGAGGGGCGTGGAGGAACAATGAGGAAGGACGGACGGATACTGGGCTGCTGCTGCTGGGTTGCACGGGAGGATGTACAGACAGGGGAGCGCGCTGTGGATCTGTGAGAGAGGGAAACACAACAAGGGGAGACAGAGGGACGGGGGGGAGGGGGGAACACAATAAGGGGAGCCAGAGGGATGGGGGGGAGAGGGAAACACAACAAGGGGAGACAGAGGGACGGGGGGGAGGGGGGAACACAATAAGGGGAGCCAGAGGGATGGGGGGGAGAGGGAAACACAACAAGGGGAGACAGAGGGACGGGGGGGAGGGGGGAACACAATAAGGGGATCCAGAGGGATGGGGGGGAGAGGGAAACACAACAAGGGGATCAAGTGTCGGGGAGTCAGGGACGAGTAGAAGAAATTCCTTGCGGCCCCAATGACAAGCGCCTCCACCCGATTCTCACTCAACACCGCATCCCACTCCAGCCACACGTCCCTTTCCGTCCCCTCTTAACCCCCAACTTACATCTGGAGAATCGAGTGTCGTGGACGAGTAGAAAAAGTTTCTTGCTGCCCCAATCACGAGAGCCTCCACCAGATCCTCACTCAACACCGCATCCCCTTCCAGCCACACATCCTCCCCCCTCCCTCTCCCCCCACCACCCCCACTGCCCAGAAACTGCCTGGCCAAAGCGAACCTCCCTTCCCTCAGCAACACTCGAGCCATTTCCGCGGGGAGGGAGTCCGGGGAAAGGGGGAGGAAAGACGAGTGTTTCAGTGTGCTGACGTGGCGGAAGAGATCCAGCCAATCAGGATCCTCCGGGGGCGGTTGGCGGCGGGCAAAGGCGGAGAGGAGGCTGCGGAGGAGGTGGAGGGCCGCTGACGTGTCGCTCCGTGATTGGACAAGGGATGCGTAGGGTGTGGGGAGCTCATACGTGGCAAGCACAGCTCCTGCCTCCACCAATAGCAGCGCACTCGCCACCGCCTCCTGCTGCTCCGAACCTAGCTTCTCCAAGCCTGCGCCGGAGGCTCGGGCCAAAGCTCCCCCACGCCTGCCCCTCCCCCCAGCAGCACCAGCAGCTGCACCAGCAGCGGGGGCTCTAGCGCTTTGCTGTTCTGCAAGGGCTGCGGTTTTGTGAGAGTCTAGAATGGAGCGGAGCAAGAAGGCCATGGAGCTCCACTCAGAGGTGGAGGCAGAGAGGGGGAGGCAGTGGAGGGAGAGGGAGGCGAGGTCCGAGAGAGAGAAAGGGGGAGAGGGAGACGAGGAGGGAGAAGAGGAAGTGGAGGAGGAGGGAAGGGGAGTAGTGGAGGGAGAGGGGACAGTGGAGTTTGTGAGAGACAGGCAGCCGTGCTTTCCCTTAGCCATTTCAGCGACAACGGAAGAGAAAACCGCCATTCTGCCTTTCACAGGGGCGATTTCTTCCCTCAGCCATTTCTCCAGGAGGCTCCAGACCTCCTGTGGGGACGCCAGGTGGCGGAACAGGATTGGCAGGGCGCGCTCGTGCAGGCGTGAGACGATGGATGAGGGCTGGGGCCGCCCGAGAACGAATCTGAACCGTTCGATTACTGGGAGCTGTAGCCAGATGGAAAGTGTGAGCTCGGCTCGCTTTAGGGCGACTGAGGGGGCAGAAACAGAAGTGAGGGTAGATTGTTGCTGCTGCCCCTCCTCTCGCTCCTCCTCTTTCCCCTCCCCTTTCCCCCTCTCTTTGTCCTCTGGCTCTTTCCTGCCATCCTCTCCTTCCTTCCCCTCCTCATACCCCTCCTCCCTCCCTTCCTCGTCCTCCTTACTATCTGCCCCGCACGCCCCATAAACCACTCTGTTCAGCTCAGCATAGTCCTCCATAACCTTCCGAACCTCCGCCAAACCTGCTGCCAAGCCTAGATCCAGCAGAGCGAGTGCATGCTGCAGCAGGCCCGTCCGTTCCTCAATCTCTCTGGTTCGGGAGAGGTACCAAGCCTGTACCGCAGGCTTGGAAGGATACTGAAAGCCCTGAAAGAGAAAAACCACCTCTTCTGTAGCGAAGGCTACAGCCGATCCGGATCTAGCTTTAACAAGCTTCCCTGCACCTGAATCTGTAGCTGCTACAGCCGGTACAGCTCCTATCATCTCCAGCACCCCCTGTCTTTCCACCCAATCTGCCCCTCTGGTTCGCGACACAGACGTGGGGGAAGCCCCAGGGAGTATGGCTCGGTAGGAGTGAGGAGGGAGGGTTTCTGGGAGGGAGGAGAGGAGGGAGAGGAGGTGAGGGGAGAGGGAGAAGGGGTGCCGTTGTAGCAGGATGTGGAGGGCTGAGATCCGGCCGGCAGAGGCGAAGCGCTGGGCGGCAGACTGGAGGGGAAGAAGAAGAAAGATGCGGTACTGTTTGGGGTCATACCGACCCATGTTGAGGGCGAGGTAGCTCTGTAGCCGGTCACGAAAGGACAAAAGATGCAACCGGCTTCGAACAAGAGCCAGCTTGACCCCTGATAGCTTCACACTCGCCATTGTCACAGTATCTCCCGAAGCTGCTGCTTGTGTCCCTGTCTCTGGTTTTGCCCCTACAATCAATGCTCCTCCTGCCCCTCCTGCTGCTCCTGCTCCTCCCCCTGCAACCCCTGCTCCTCCTGCTCCTCCTCCTGCCCCTCCTGCTGCTCCTGCTCCCCCCCCTGCAACCCCTTCTCCTCCTGCTCCATCACCTGATGCTGCCACAGCAGCAGCAGCAGCAGCAGCTACTTTAAGCGTCTCTTCCTTGAGACTGCTCGTGGCTCTGAGTCCCAGGCTAAGCAGCAGCTCCATGCCCTTGGCAGTGCGGCACACCACGCTCACACACTCCCGCACCACCCAGGGGATGTCAGACACCCGAGACAAGTAGTCCGTGATGGCACTAACCTCCTCCTCTTCCTCCTCCTTATTCTCCTCCTCTTCATTCTCCTCCTGGCTCCTATCTTCCTTGCTCTCATCGTCCCTACCATCGAGTCTCCTGTCTCCCAACAACCTCCCACCTTCTGCCCCTGCTCCTCCTCCTCCCCCTCCTTCTACCGCGATTCCCACGCCCATGCTCGTCCAAGCAGCCTTAAACACCAAGTCCACGTGCAAGCCAGCAGCCCGTGCTATCCCAAGCGCGTCTCCCAGTCTACCTTCCTCAGTTAACACCTGCACCACGACCACCGCCGGCTGCTCCACAAGAGTCGAAACCCGCCAGCCGCTCTCCAACCCTCCCTCACCAACGCCTCCTTTCTGATTTTCAGAAATCTTCCCAGTTCCTAGGGTACTTCCCAGAGTCCCCCTAGCCCAATCTGGTACTGAGATCACCCGTGTGACAGGCTCTAGGACAATAGCTCCTAGCAGATACAGTCCCGGCCTGCTGCTGCCACGTGGCACGAGGAGACTGGACGAGCAGAGGACGGCCCGGGGGCCGAAAACGAGCGGGAGCGGGCCGGTGAGGTTACGTAGATCGTGCACTGTGGCTATGGCTACCCTCCCCGAGCGATGCGATACCACAATCGTATCTACACTGAGCCATGTGACACTGTTCACACAATCCCCAGCCAAGCCTCCTGAAACCCTAAATCGCGCCCCTCCCATCCCCTCCCATGCACCACCACCCGGCCCCTGCTCCTCCCCCTCCTCTAAAACCGCCCCAGCCGGCACAGCCACGGCTCTCCCGGCGCTCCTGGGCAGCAGCATGAGCTCAGAGTCCTTAGCCGACATCCGCATGAGGGAGAGCGCCCCCCGGTGGTGCACCACCGCCAGCGACCCCCCGTCAGGGGAGAATCGCACCTCTGCTACCGCCTCCTCTCCTTCCTCCTCCTCCTCATCTTCTTCCTCCTCCTCCTCTCCCCCCAAGCTAAACCCTAAGCCAGAACCAGAGCCTGGTTTCCCCGAACGGCCGGGTTTGATTTGGGGAGGGTGGAGGGGGGGAGGGGCGAAGCGGAGGAGGCAGAGGAAGGAAGACGGTAGCAGAGAGTGGTGGGGGTCGGGGATGTGCCAGATGGATAGGAGGAGGGACGTGGGCGGGCGCGTGGGGGATGGTTTACCGACTGCAAAGGGGAAGATGGGACCCAAAGCATGGGGGCGGAGGGGGATAAGAACGGAAATGAGTCGTGACGGTAGCAGAGAGTGGTGGGGGGGGTCTCGGATGTGCCAGATGGATAGGAGGAGGGACGTGGGCAGGCACGTGGCGCGCAGGGGGTGGTTTTCCGGCTGCAAGGGAGAAGAAAGGACAAGAAGACGGGGGGGGGGGGCTTTTGAGTCGACTCAAAAGAAAGGACAAGAAGACGGGGGGGGGGGGGGGGGGAGAGGATGAAAAAAACAACAAGACGTGAATGTATTGGACGTGGGGAATCGGACCCTGATATGGACGCCAGGAATCGGAATCTGGGAATTGGACGATGATACAGATTTCCCACAACACCCAGGTTGCTAGGGAAGGGTGGAGAGGGGGGGGGGAGAGGAGAAGGCGGAGGAAGCGATTCCAATAGGCATCACCTGACAGGTCCCATACGGACAGGTCTCACCTGAGGGGCAAATGCCAGCCACGGCAAGCAGGCTGAGCACAGGGTGAAAGTCCGAGCGAACTACGCTCCCCTGATGCCTTCCCCCAAGCAGATACGCCCTCCCCCTCGCGTTCACCCGCCCAGGGCGCGGTGCAGAAGCTCCTGAAATAACACCTGAAGCCCCTGAAGCAGCACCTGAAGCTCCTGAACCAACACCTGAAGAAACCCCTGAGGAGATCCCAGCGGCCCCTGAAGAAACTCCTGAACTCGCCCAGTGCTCAGCAGAGGGAGGCAGTGGAAGAGTGACTGTGGATCTCCAGAGGCGTGGGCGCGGGTGGGATAAGACCAAGATAATGTCGTAGGCACTGGAACTGGGAGGGGAACAGGGGGAACAGGGGGAACAGGGGGAACAGGGGGAACAGGGGGAACAGGGGGAACAGGGGGAACAGGGGGAACAGGGGGAACAGGGGGAACAGGGAGAACAGGGGGAACAGGGGGAACAGGGGGAACAGGGGCGTGGGAGCAGTACAGACAGCAGCAGGAGGGTGAATGAGACGCGAATTCGGGTTACATTGTGGCTAGGAGAGGAGGTGAGAGTATGATGGTTCGCCAGAGGCGTGGGCGCAGGGGGGGACAAGGGCAAGATGATGTCGTGTGCAAAGAAGGGCGTGGGTGAGAAGAAAAGAGGAGACGAGTAGAGTAGGGGAGGGGAGTCGTGGAGAGAAGAGTAGAGGTGAAAGGAAAAGGAGTGGTGATTTGAAAAGGAACCTTACCTAAGGGATTTCCCTGCATTGGTAGATTCTGAGGTAGTTGCAGATCGCAGGATACAGCCTGCAATAGTGGATCCCCGAGGCTGCCATGTGGAAGAATGCAATTCGCCGAGCAGCAGCCCTTGTGTGTCCAGCAACCAGAGAGCGTGTGAAGCAGCCACAGCCAGAACCCTCTCATCGTCACTCCACTCCGCGGTTACATGAGTGGAAGTGGTAACCCTATGCCTGCTCGATTCTGCACAGGGTAATGGTACGGAAACAAAATAGCCGCCTAATGAGAAGAAACACAACATTTTTTTTTGGCTGGAGGATATAGCACGAGAATCTGACATGTGATGAAGCATGTTGGACAATTTATAAAATTGAAGGCAGAAGAAGACGCACAACCTGCACTCACACATTACATTCAACCTGACACGTGATAACGCATGATAATCAACCATACCACTGGAAAACCGCACCAGGGGAACCCACAAGCAACGAATGTAAGAACATTCATACTGATCAGCAACTTAGACAATCATACCTGACAGTCAGACAATCATACCTGACAGTCAGACAATCATACCTGACAGTCACACAATCATACCTGACAGTCACACAATCATACCTGACAGTCAGACAATCATACCTGACAGTCAGACAATCATACCTGACAGTCACACAATCATACCTGACAGTCAGACAATCATACCTGACAGTCAGACAATCATACCTGACAGTCAGACAATCATACCTGACAGTCAGACAATCATACCTGACAGTCAGACAATCATACCTGACATTTAGACAATCATACCTGACATTTAGACAATCATACCTGACATTTAGACAATCATACCTGACATTTAGACAATCATACCTGACAGTCAGACAATCATACCTGACAGTCAGACAATCATACCTGACATTTAGACAATCATACCTGACATTTAGACAATCATACCTGACATTTAGACAATCATACCTGACAGTCAGACAATCATACCTGACATTCAGACAACCATACCTGGCATTTAGACGATCATACCTGACATATAGATGTTCGGACATTCAGGCATTAAGACAATACCTGACGGAATGCTGAAGCTGCCAACCGGAGCCGAATAGCCATCGTAATGCGACAAAATGGTAACTGTCGAGCCCCAGATGACGGCTAGCCGCTTGCCTGACGGCGAGATCTTAAGCGACCAGACGGTTACCCGTCCGCGATCGTCTCCCGGCGGGTAGAGCGACTCAGCGCGAGTCTGACGGTCGAAAAGCTTCCAGTGACAGCTGGCGGGAGACGATTGGCTGGAGAGGCGCGAGAGTCGGGTAAGCTCGGGGATGCTTGTGGATGGGCCAAAGAACGGAAGCGGATCGCGGAACGAGCCGTCTGACGCCATTTTGTAGAAGAGAAAAAGGGTAGCTGGATAGCGAATAGAACGCCGATAAACCAAGATGTAATCGAACGGTTTTCAAGCCATCCGTGACGACGCTTTCAACGCTTGGACGGTTGTCGAGTCATGACTGACGGTTGTCACGATTACTGGTACGATGAGCGCAATCGCTTGGACAACAGGAGTCTGGCGTCAGGAAACCCTAGCCTCCTACCGAGAAGGCGCGGATCTGACTGACTGCGTGGCCACAGCGAGACATCCTAGGCACCCTACTCAGTCACCAGCGGCCATGAATGGGAAATAAGGTAAGATCAGACTGGAAGTGGTTTGGACACCTCCTGTTCAGGAGTCATCCTCCTTACAAAAGCACGCTTTCAGTCCCGAAGGTAGGTTACAAGGTTGAGGCTGGTGTTTAATGATTAACTAAGGCCTGTAAGACATCATCAATGCTAACACATAATCAATCCAAAAAATTGCTTCCTTATGAGATTTTGTTCCATAAACAAGAGTGTACTATACACCCTATGGGAGGGCGAATCGGGGTATGTGAAGGACTCTGATTGGCGTTCCGTGGACTGCGGACTAGAGGTTGCGCATGTAGGATTTTTCCTGCGTGACACGGAGGGTGTGTTCTTACATCGGGAAAACTTCAGGGCAGCACTTTGGGGCTCCCGTACATGGCCGAGATGGTTTTTTTTTTTTTTTTTTTTTTTTTTAAATTGGATCATTTCTGCCGTATCCAAGAAGCTTGGAAATCGTTCGACTGCGCAATTTTTTTAAAGCCCGACCGGCAGGTTGCATATTGGTACTGTTGAAGTAGGTGGGGCGGCATGTTACGATTGGTTGACGAGTAAAAATATAAACGAAATGGTTTTGCGAAACTTCATATTCGTCCACCTCGTGCTTGCGCGGGAATTCCCAAGGGCTACGCAACCTGGCAGAGGCGTCAGGTTTGAGCCCCGTCATTTGGCAGGGGACTCACACCTGCCTCTTTGCCATGTTGCAAGGGGCTTTTCGTGCCTGCGTTTTTGCGCTAACAGCCCACATCGTTTTTTTTTGTTAGGGCAAGTTGAATGGAAACGAGGCTCAACTATTGGGCTTCGGTTTCGCCCTTGTGCAATCAAATACACGTTGGTACACTTGCGCTAAACCGCATGAAAGTCAAACTTTGTACGAGTAATTACCCTTTGAGACACACTTTGTGCTTGTTCACCTCGATACTTGGCAGGGACGCAAGCTTGCCAAGTTTGTCGAGGCACAGAGTTCAGATGTTTGAGTCTCCTCAACCACTGCTGCGGGTGGGTTCGGTTACAGGTTCTCAAGATGCAGCATCTTGAGAAAAGGAGAGTTGCAACCTGCTGGTCGGGCTTTAAGAAGCGCATGGGCATTTAGGGCCTTGGAAGGTGCTCCGAGTTGGAATTGGTCGCCATGCGACCAGTGACGTCAGCCTGCGATTTCCAAACCGGGCCCAACAATCGCAATGCCTTTCTCGCCCCATTCCCTTCCATCGCTATAGTAAACCGCCCACTGCCGCCCCTCAAATTGCCCCAATTCCCCAATGGCCCTTCAATACCACCAAATTGGTGGTATGATGCCTTCCGGAAGAGAATGAGGGAGCCACTCCCTATTTTCTTGGGGGAATTTTTTATCGGCGAGAATTCTCATAGTAAGGAATAAACTAGAATGAGTGATACAGAGTGGTTTTTTCCTAAGGTATTGTACTCTCTATGAGCATGCACCTATTTAGCTTATAACATATACAAATATATGTTGACACACCCTAGACAAGGGACAACGACCAGCACGAGACATGCAGCTCAGGGTGGCACTACTAGTCCAACCTCTGAGGCAAGGGTTTGAAGACCAGTCTGCAAGAGTACAAAGGAAACGAGAGCAATCCAGGGCGGCACTACTAGTCCATCCACTGGAACAGCAGCCACAAGGCCAATCAAGATAATATAAGGTATAAGATAATACAATCAAGGTCCTAGTAGGTGAGAAGCTACAGGAACTAGACCAAGCTGTACACAGTGCCGCCGATGATCTTTAGGCGCAAGCGCCTTCGTTAAGATATCAGCTGTGTTAGCATCGGAGGCCAAGTGAATTACGCGAGTCTGGCGGCGCTATTGTAGCTCGCGCAGGAGGAAGTACCACAGTTGGATGTGCTTCGCTCTGCCCTCCAGTCGAGGCTCCTGACACAAGAGGATCATGGCCGTGTTGTCAACATACAGGACCGGGGCAGAGCTAGGCCGCTCAATTAAGTCTGTGAGCAAGGAAGTCAGCCAGCGGAGCTCCTGCGCCGCCATGGCACCAGCGTAGACCTCAGCCTTACAGTTAGAGTGTGCAACAGACGATGAGCAAATGGACCTCTACGAGATGGCACCTGCACCAAGGCTAAAGCAGTAGCCCTGGGAGGACCTGAGCCTCTCAGCATCGTCTGCCCACGAAGCGTCAGTGTGCTCAGCAAGGACCACTGGCCTGCGTCCTCCTAACACTAGCCCCATCCCCAATGTACTTGCTACATAATGCAAAACCCTCTTAGCGGCCAACCAGTGCCGTGGTCGGTGTCTGCCTGTGGCCACAAAGCGAGCCATGATGTTGAGAGGGTATGCGAGATCTGGACGAGTGCAAGTTATCAGGTACATGTGGCAACCCACTAGCTCTGCATACAGCCCACTAGGCTCTACTGACTCCTCAGGGACTGAAGCCAAGAGCCTGTGATCTGCTAGCAGAGGTGTGGGCTGTGCGAAGGAGAACTGAAGACAGAACTTGTTAAGGACCTGGCGCATCAAGTGTGACTGTGTAAGAGTGATGGTGCGCGTTGCTTTGTCCCTGGAGATCTGCAGGCCAAGGTAGCGGGGCAACTCTCCTAGGTCAGTGCAGGTGTGACTCCTCAGCAACTCAGCCTTTACGGAGGCCAGTGTGTCTCTGTCTGCAGTAGCGAGGAACAGGTCGTCTACACAAGGATGTAGAGCAGGGTCTGGCCAGAATGAACGAAGAGCGAGAGAAGAACTGCAGATAAGCTAACGTAGCACGCAGTGTATCGTGCCATTCATGGGGCGCCTACCGCAGGCTGTAAGCCGGGTGCCGGAGGAGCCATTCGGTACCAGGCCGAAGGTGCCGGTGAAGCCGGGCGGACAGCGCAGGTAGATCTTCTCGTGCAGATTTCCCTGGAGAAACGATGTGGAGAAGTCGAGGGAGTCCAGCTCGTAGTCGCGCTGTGCTGCTACGTGTAGCAGTGTCCGAAGAGTGGTCATCTTCGGGGTCGGGGCAAAGGTCTGAAAGAAGTCAACACACTCGCGCTGACTAAATCCTCTAGCAACATAGGGCGCCTTGAATACCGGCGGCTCTCCAGGATGGCACTTCACCTTGAAGAGCCACCGGCCATCGACTACATTCACCCCAGATGGGGGAACTGCGTCGACGTAGGTGCCGGTGGATCTCCAAGATGCCATCTCCGCATCCATGACAGATATCCACTGAGAGGCCCAGGGTCCCGAGGTCGCCTCAGCGTAAGTGCGAGGGGTCGGGATGTCAAGGGAGTCTGGGTCACCCTCAGGGACTAGCAGAAAGCAAATGTTTTACAGTTGGTAAACGTGGGTCCCTGGCTTTAAATGCGCTTCCAACGAGCAGGGAGAAATCACATCCGATAGAAGCTAGGTTGTCAGGGGTGAGGAGGGGTTATCAGGTTGACCAGGGGCGAGGGGAAACGAGCTTATTACACCTAACCTGCAACATCTTCACTACTAATAACTTCACACATTTTACTATTTACCCTTTGATCTAGGGCTACTCGCGGTTGACTCAAGCAAATAATGAAGTAGCGTGAGCACTTTCTTGGCTGGAACATTACGGGCCTCTGCGAACTCTCACGGGGTTCGTCGACAATCACAGCATAACTGTTTCAACGCGAGGGGCGTGCTCTTCGATTCAGCCCTACTCTTCCTGTAAAACTAGACACGATCATTTGGGGTTTCCATGACCCCTAGCCTCAAGCCGTGTTGGGCGTGTTTGACTCGAAATTTTCCAAGTTGTGAAAATATCGCGATCTAGGTGTAGCTTGCTAGCGTTTTGGCCGCTGCCAAGATCCTACTGACGAGGTAACTCGATCGGCCGCTGCCGGATCCTTCTGTAACGAGGTAACGCGATCGGCTGCTGCCGATACCCTTCTGTATTGAGGTAACACGATCGGCCGCTACCGATATCCTACTGTAACGAGGTAATGCGATCGACCGCTGCCGAGATCCTACTGTAACGAGGTAACGCGATCGGCCGCTGCCGAGATCCTACTGTAATGCAATCAGCCGCTGCCAAGATCCTATTTAAGTAACGCGGTCGTCCGCTGCAGAGATCCTATTTAAGTAACGCGGTCGTCCGCTGCCGAGATCCTACTGTAACGTGCTGACGTATCGTGCTAGCGATTCTAGCGCGCTGACGAAATTGTAACGCTCCTAACATGATCCTAACTTACCCTGTACCCGAGGGAAGGGGGTGGGGGGGGGGGAGGGTGTTGTAATTTGGGGTGTGTTGGGGGCGGGTGGGGGGTTAAGCTTACATAAAACAGACCAAGACAGCGAACGGATGTTACATGGCTTGAAAACGAACAGAAATGACAACCTTACCACTGAAACGTCGGCTTGTTCTTGTTTCCTCTTGCTCCACAACAGGAAAAAAAAACAGACATTAGATATCTTGAAAACGAATCAACACAGCTAAATTTGATGGTTCTTACCACGACAGCGTCGGCTTGTTCATTTTGCCCTCCTCTTCTCCACCGACCAAAACCTGACATTAGATATATTGAAGAAGAAGCAACAAAACTGAACTTCACCATTCTTACCACGAGAGGTGGTAATTACCACCATTGCGGAGTCATTGCCGTTGTGAGGGGGAGTACCCGAGGAGCAGTGGGAGGGGGAGGGGGGGAAGGAGAGGACAGGGTGGGGGCTGCCCTTTCTCTCAATCCCCGCTGCCCCCACCCCCTCCCAAAGCTCCGCAGGCCCCCCTCCTGGTCCGTGGAGTTCTTATGGCGCGTGCTTATGGCACAATGGTAACACAACAAAAAGAGCCAATGGGACTTGAAGGGAAAACGGAAGGCTGAAGACGGAACACCAGCAGTAACGGGAGCGCAAGAAACAATACGAACGCTAGCAGCGATAAGAGTGGGGAGGTGGGCGGTATGAAGAGGAGGAAAGTGGGAGGTGGGTATGATGATACGATGAGAGTTCATACCGTAAAAGCCCGGATATAAGACCCCCATGGAATAGAAGATACTATGTCTTG